CCCAGGGCAACAGAGTGAGACTCTGTCTCAAAAAAAAAAAAAAAAAGAAAAACCTCTCCGCCAGTACTCTCTCCCACCTCTGTGCAAGGGAAAAGGGTCCACTGAGAAAAGTAAAATAAATGTTTTCTTTTTTCTATCCTAATCTTTACCTGGAGAAATCTTTTTCAAAACCTGGGTTCACTAGTTCAAACCTTAACCCATTTTTGAAAGAAATTTTAAAAGACCTAAATAAATGGAAAGACATTCTATGTTCATTAATCAGAAGACTTAATATTGCTAAGATGGCCATACTTCCCTAGTTGATCCACAGATTCAATGCAGCTCCTATCAAAATCTCAGCTGACTTCTTTGCAGAAATTGACTTCTTTTCTAAAATGTATATGAAAATTTAAAAGACCCAGAATAGGTAAAACAATCTTGAAAAAGAAAAAAGTTGGAGGATTCCCACTTCCTGATTTCAGAATTTACTACAAAGCTATAGTCATTAAGACACTGTAGTACCGGCACAAGAAGAGACACACATCAATGAAATAAAATTGAGAGTCTAGAAATAAGCTCATTTCTAGGGTCTATGATTTATGAGAACACGACTGTGGTTTAATAAAAAATAAATATTTGGTCTTTGTGCCCTGCTCTTGGCACAGACTTCCTAAAACATTTGGATTTCATTATGAATGCTAATGAGATGGCTCCTGTGGGAAGAGGAGGGCAGTTCTGACAGCCTCAGGACGCGGGATGGTTGCCAGAAAAACCAACTACGTGATTAGAAAGAACTCTTCAGTCCCACTCTAACCTCCAGGGAGTGGAGAAGGGCTGGATATTGAGTTCAACTATCAATGACTTAATCAATCATGCCTACATAATGAAACCCCCATAAACAAACACCACTCCTGATGGGATTCAGAGGGCTTCTGTGTGGGTGACCACACTGAGGAGCTAGGAAGGCCGTGTGTCGCCTCCGCCCCATTCTGGGTCTCCCTCATTTGGCTGCTCCTGACTTGTATCTTTTATAATAAGCCAATAATATAAGTAAAGCATTTTCCTGAGTTCTGTGCATCACTCTAGTCAATTACTCTGTGCATCACTCTAGTTTAGTTCTGTCATCACTCCTGAAATTGAGGAGAGCATTGTGGGAATGCTGAAATTCATTACCAGTTGGTCAGAAGGATGCGTCACTCCTGAGACTCAAGACTGGTGTCTAAAGTGGGAGCAATATTGTGGAACTGATCCCTTAACTTGTGGAGTCTATACTAACTCCAGCAGTTGGTGTCAGAATTGAATTGAATTGTTGGACGCTCAGTTGGTGATAAAATCTGTTGTTGGTGTTGGAAAATACCCTGCATTTGGCATTAGAAGTGTTGTTAGAAAAAAGACGTTATAGATGTCACCAAAATTCAATGAGAAAAGAATAATCTATTTCACAAACAGTGCTGGGACAACTGGTTACACACAGGCAAAAGAATGAAGCTGGATACCTACCTTTAGCAAAAACAATTAACAAAAATTAATTCAAAATTGATTACAGACGTAAATGTAAAAGCTTAAACTATAAAACTTTTTAGAAGAAAACATAGATTTAAATCTTCATGAACTTGGGTTAGACAATGATTTCTTACATATGATACCAAAAGTATATGTGACCAAAGAAACAATAAATATTCTGGGCTTCATCGAAGTTAAAAAACATATGCTTTGATGGATGTCACCAAGAGAGTGAAAAGACATCCCACAGAAGGGAAGAAAATGTTTGTATCTGATAAGGGTCTGGTATCTAGAATATGTAAAGAACTCTTACAACTTAACAATAAAAAGACCATTTAATTATAAAATAGGAAAGAATATTTCTGAATAGAAATAGACATGAATGGACATTTCTCCAAAAAAAAGATATACAAGTGACGTGTAAGAGAAGTGCTCCTGCTTGCACACGCCCACGAGTGTACTCCACCAGTAATTACCTAAGTCCTCCATTACATTACACCTTCCCGTCCCAGATCCCCTTCTGGCTCTCTCTCTCTGGATGTCCCACACACCTAAACTTAACGCTTTAAACCCAAGCCATCAAAAATCAACTCATTGTTTTCCTGGTTTTCTCTCCCTATGACTCATGCTCAAGTTAGAAAGTTTGCCATTATTTGATCTTTTCCCCTTTCCCTCAAGACCTTATGCAGTCTATCATAAAATCCAAAAAACCCTATCTCCTATCTTGCTGCTACCTTAGTGCAGACCCAGCCCTTCTCCCTCGCTGGCAGGACAGCACCCCAGCCAGCCTTCCACCCCTGGTCTGACCTCGCTGCCCTGGCCCCAGCTGTAGCCCAGTGCCCAACCTGGCACAGAGCTGGAAATCATTACCTTTTAGTTGAATTCATTGCCAAATAAAGTAGAGAAGAAAAATAGAACATCACAAGTTGTGATATGATAGTCAAATGGGCTTGACGTCAATATTCACCAAATTAATGAAATACATAATAGAAATGAAACAGCAAAGAGGCAATGAACCGTAAATAAGAAGCAACCTGAGGAATTATGAAGAAACAAATCATGTAGGAGAAACATGAATTAGGGTGAAGAATGCATCAGCTACATTGTACAGTTGATATTTTAAGTTATCTTTGTTACGCTGTATTACAAAAACATCCTCATAAAATTGGGGCAAATTGACCTGTCTGAAGATACACAGCATGAAATGAGACACGAAATATGCAAAAAGAAAGTTCCAGGAAGTCATTGCCCTTCTGTGTGCTAATATTTAAAACCTGCACAAGTGGCGGAAACATAATATTTAATATAGTCTGTGCTTTAACTGAAACTTTTTGTTCCTTTTATTATTCCTGATCATGAAAGGGAGAAAACTCTCTTTCTCTCTACCATGCCCACATTTTTCTTTTATGAGAGTTTGGACAGACTTAGTGAAAATAAGAGGTTCTATAATAAATGTTGAATTCCTTAGAGATACTCACCCAAAGCCTATAGCCACCCAGTAGTTTCTGACCCCCTGATGAGGCCCCACCATAGGCAGAATGTCGGGAGAATAGGTGATGGGGCCATTGACAATATTGATGATGTCGGCCTTTTTCAAGACTGGAACCATTTCCATGGCAATTTCCACGTGTTCCATGATCCGGTCTAGATCAGACTCAAACAGCTCCTTTCCAAAACCTGAAAAGATATACCAGGGCAGTCAGGGTGCTCCTGCTGTCCTGATCAGTATTCTAACGTGATTTAAGCCTCTGACGTAGTCTACATTTAAAGACGGCCTGTTAGGAAGGACAGCCATTTGTTTTTAGATCTAAATTTGACATTCACTAGCAATAGATGGGTACCCATTCCATTACTGAGATCAAGGTTATTGTTCATAAAACAAAATCATAAAGTTAACCTTTTAATTAATAGACAATTCAAATGTTTGCATATTAATAGTTTCCTATATAATCTGATCACAAATTTTAGAAAGCAACAATAAATTAGCTTGTCAAGAAAGATCTTTATCCTTTAATTAACCATAAGATCCTGCTTCTTCCCCGAAGATGAGAGCAAATGGGAGTTTACAAAGTCACGCCAGGACACTGGGAAAAGTAAAATACTACTCCAGGATGGAAGATGGTGGACTTTGGGGCCCTTGTGATTCCTTTCAGCAGAGAAGCAATGACATGGAGGCCTCCCTCCTCCAGGCTGCTCCCACGTACATCCAAGGGCTAGAGTTCTGTGAAAAGAAGCAGGGTCTCGGAGTGCAATCATTTTCTTGTCCTAACAGTCACTGTGATTGCAAGCAAGGCACGAGATGAGCTTCTAGTGGTGATACTCCCACGTGTTAGGTAGCAGAGCCTCCTTTTCGTCCTGGGGACTGCATTTGGGTCAGCTGCATGGAGGTCTGCAGACTCTGGGGTAGGACTAGGACATCTGGGCACCCACACCCAGGGACAGCTAACAATACGGCTCTCCCTTCAACTGGTATCATTTAAATATTTGTTCAACATTTCTTTGGAAGAGAGGCTGGCAGTGTGGGGGAAGAGCAGAAAGGGAGGCTCCCAGGTGGCAGGTCAGCCCTCCCTCTGGGATCAGGAATGACTCTAGGCCCAAATGGGCAGTCCCCTACTCAGCCACACTAAAGCCCTGAAGATAGCTGGCCCACAGAAGGCAGCTCAGGGAGCCTTTGTTGTTACATGGGCCTCTTCTTTGAAGAGTAGGAGGGAGGGACTCACTCCCTGTCTCAAGGAACTTATCAAAGTATAATTCTAGAAAGTACCATTTCCTTCATTTCTTTGTATTTCCTGTCATATTTCAGTATCCCAGTGATATTTTTGGCTCCTTTTATAGATTAAAACCGGAGGTACCTCCTTAGGCAACCCAGTCTTTGACACTGTGGAAATACTTCATGAAAAAGAAATAAACAAAACCAAAAGCAGACCTATCTCCCTTATAAAACTTAAAAGAGAAAGGCTAGTACCTCCTGCTTTAGCAGAGAGGCCTAAGCCTTTTCCACATCCATTCATGTAAGGTGGGTGGGCCTCGGTTTGCAGCACCAACCTACCCTGCTCTGTTCCAGACACCCAGGCCCCAGGCTTTCATTCTTAGTAGAAAGGATATCCAGCCTCTAATACCTATCAGATTTCCAACTGTAAAAGCACAATGGTAGCTATATTCAAATCTTGAAAGTAGACCACACGGCAATAGATGAAAGAGAAAGGGGGAAGGCAGGAGGTTGGTAGGGCAGGTAAAAATGTGCCTGGAACTTTCGAAAGCAGCTGGAACATGTTTATTTAGCTTATCTCCCACCAGCCATCATCTCCCTTTCCTCACTCCCTGCTGTGATTATTCAAAGGAATAAAAGAACAGAGCTCACTTCAACCCCCTATCTCCAATGTCCCAGGCATGTGATGGTCTAGTATTATAGAGTCATTTCATTCTACAATCAGCCCCCACCGTGGAGAGCATTTTTTGTATGTGATGTCTCACCTGCACACACTTTCGTTTGCTAAACCCACCTGGAGGAACTCCACTGGTGACCCAGGAGTCCTGAGCTTTCATTTTCTCCTGACTTTCATAAGGACCAAACAAAAGCCCATCCCTTTCCTGTCGTAGGTAATAGGATCCTTCCAGATCACGGATCACAGGAAGCTCTCGTTTCAAAGCTTTCACTTCAGGGATAGTGGATGTAATGACGTACTGATGTTGCACAGGAATGAGAGGATGTTCCAATCCAACCATTTTACCTACTTCACGAGCCCAAAATCCTTAAACGAAAAAGTCATTTAAAAATGTCAGCACATATATAAGCACACCACATCAGAGACCTGCAAAGGTAGCAAGGTTTATTAAAATAAAATATTTAGAAGGCTTGAGTACTCATGGCAAAGTCTAAAGAATACTGTAACAACCTTTAAATTTTTTTAATTTAAAAAATTGAATGGAGAAGACAAAACAGTATTTTGCATTGTCCAGAGTTTTGACAATATCTGTAATCTAAGGGAATTCCATGCCTGAAAAAGTATTTGGCCCAGAAGAAAAGAATGGCAGCCAAAACCCAAAGAATTTTATTTAAAAGAAAAAAACAAAACAACCCAACTATATAAAATGTATAAATATCAATAAAAATATGGCAGCAGACTGACCCTACTTGTGGTCAGGGGTTGTCAGGCAGAGATCCAGGGTCGATGTAATGAATATAATACATAAAGAAGGTACAGGATCAAGCCCTGGAAGTCAACTTCTGTAGGCCTCAAACCCTAACCTCCCCAAATCTCCCAAATTGATGCCTGACACCTCACATACAAAATGGTGCTGTTAACTTAAAATGTATACACTTTGGGAGAGAGAGCACATTAAGTTTTATCTGTTGTTTTAAAAATTCAGTTTGAATAAGTTTGCAAGATCCTTTTTTGTAAAAAACAAAGGAATCAAAAAACTGGAAAGAAAATGAGCCAGAGAAAGAGGAAGACGGGGCTTAAAATTAGGTGGGGAGGGCTGTGCCCCCATAGTTCGCTGATTATTATGGTGCTTGCAGATTCAAACCTGGCCCAGGCCAGCTGAACAACAATGACAACTGCAACAAGAACAAGCTACTTGGGAGGCTGAGGCAAGTGAATTTCTTAAGCCCAAGAGTTGGAGGTTGCTGTGAGCTGTGAGGCTCAGTACTCTACAGAGGGTGACATAGTGAGACTCTTAAAAACAAAACAAAACAAAACAAAACAAAACGTAAGTGGGGAATTCCTAAAGAAAATGTTTCCAGCTTCATGATTTGCATAGAGGCTGTCTTATTGGTGGACATAATTTTTTTTTTTTCTATTTGCAAAAGACAATTTGTTGCTGAAAGGACCTTGGATTCTTTCCCAGGCCGCCCCATCAGAACGCAGATGTAGACGCGAAGGCCCTAGATATGCCTGTAATCAACCCGTTTTATTGGTTTTCTTCCTGCAGAAAGACTGTATTTTAAAAATCTAAGGCATCTCCACTTGTGTAAAGGTATTTTGGACCCTAAAATAATACAAATTATTATTTGACAGGGATATGGTGACATCTGCCCTATCAATGGATTATTTAAGGAGAGAGTTCTATTTGTTCGCTTGTTTCACAATAATTTTGAGTATTCAAATGATTAGAGAATCTTATTTATTTCTTTAAGAGTTACACTCTGTAAATTTTTAATAATTTCTGTTTGCTTTTCTTGGAATTTGTTTTAAACCCTCCAACGACTCCTCCAGGACATGCGCAACGGACTCTGCAACTGCGACCAGAGGGGGCGCCGGGAACCCGGACGACCCTGGGGGACAAGCCGGTGCTGTCCTGGGTGCCGCATAGGGCCGGGCAGACTCAACGCTCGCGCCTGCTCGGCGCGCGACTGGCGGGGGGACGGTCCACCCGTCCCCGCAGCAGGGAGAGCGGCCTGCAGGGCAACAGCCTCCAGGGACGAGCTGGGGGTGGGGACGCTAAGTCTAGAGGACCACCCAGCCTGCGGACGCTCGGAGGCCAGGACAGGGAACTGGAACCCTCCGTTTCCAAGCACCGCCGCGGGCGGAACCAGAACAGTCCCATTCGCCAGCAAACGTCCCCTCCCTCGCCTGGCGCGCAGCCTGAGGCTGAGCCCGAGAGCGCGTGACATCAGCACATGGCGCCCTTTACCGAATCTCAAAAGGAGTTCTTAAGTTTCCATCATTATGAAGTTTAGAGCCTACACAGCATCGTCAGTTAGGAGTCAGTTTGGGAATCTGGATCATGTGCTCACGTGTGGCAAGGTTTATTTCCATTTCACAATCTAAACATTACCCTTGTGTTCTATTGTTTGGTTTTGGCCCACTGGCTAAGTTGATCACCCGCCTGTAACAAACGTGGAAATGAGTACCCATTTGTAAACTAGAAGTCTGACCTGTGGGCATCAGCTCTAATTTGTTGGTCTTTTAATAATTTAGAGACATATTTTATTCTTGTTAGTAGGAAGATAGGTATTACCAACGTCAGGACTTTGTAGGAACGTGTAATAAAACCACATATTCTAGCTATGTACACTTGAGCAGTTTTAAAATATAAAAAGTCAAAATATTCAGCCTACCAATTCAAACTACTGCAGTATCCTCAATAGACTTGTTTCAATGAAAGACATAAATTGAAGAAAATAAATTCTACCCTACTCGAACATATATATGAATTTCTGAATCCAAACGCTTGCTTATTAAAGCACCTCATCATTAAAATAAAGTGGAAATGTATACATAAGTGTCATGTAACTATATTACTTCAAATCCCATGGCAAACTGTACACCGTTTTACCCTGCAGTGATGATGTCTGCTGGCATTCTTTTCCTCTCTATGTCAATCAAGTTAACCTAAATCTAGCCAGCATTACCCTTGGACTCCTGCTAGGGCACCCGCGCACCAAGATCAAAGGGGAGACAGATGTGGAGGACTCATTCTAAAGTCGACCATTGTCATTTGGAAAACAAATGAAGAGTCAATAAAAATGACAACTGGAATTACTTAAATTTTTTAAAAGTGCAATGATAAATAGAAATGAAATTAAATGTGGGTGCGGTGGCTCAGGCCTTAACCCTAGCACTCTGGGAGGCCAAGGTGGGAGGATCACTTGAGCTCAGGAGTTGGAGACCAGCCTGAGCAAGAGTGAAAAGCCATCTATACTAATAAACAGAAAAATTATCCTGGTTTGGTGATAACCCCAGCTACTGGGGAGACTGAGGTAGGAGGACCACTTGAGTGCAGGTGTTTGTGGTTGCAGTGAGCTATGACCACACCACTGCACTCTAGCCAGGCTGACACGGTGAGACCCTGTCAATGAAGGAAGGGAAGGAGAGAGGGAAGGAAGCTATTTTAGAATCTAAAATAATAAAAATTATTATTTGACAAGGATATGGTGTCAAAGGAAGGGAGGGAGGGAGAGAGAGAGGAAGGGAAAGAGGGAAGGAAGGCAGGAAAGGAGAAAGAAAGGAAATGAAGCTAAAATTTAGACTAAAGATTAAAGATTCATGGACAAGTTCACTTCTGCTAGATGGTTTATACAGTGACAATGACGGCTTCATTCTCTGACACAGTATCAAACGAAATTAAACAATTCTCTTTAGCTGAACATTGGGCTTTACCTTAGCATGATCCAAGAATATTTCTGATTCACTATACGAGGAAAATCCTTAAGTAAATTTTACAAAGTTATCTCAGGCTTAGAGAGCCAATCAGAAATGAGGTCAAGAGAAATGTTCACCCCATGTAGAAGAAAGCTTATGTCTTAATAAATAGCTTCTGCCTGTATCCCTGAGTTGCACCTCAGTGAAGGGGTAGAGTGAAGACACAGTTGAAAGCTTCTGGCTCTAAAGCCAAGCTCTACTACTGCACACCCAAAGCTCTGGAGCATCAGAAACGTCCACAGGCCTGAATGCTCGAGAATATATTCAGTTACCGCAAAGTCAAATGTGTCTCCGTATAGGAACACCATAGAGCAGGGTCTCTCCAGAGATTTTTTTAAACAAATTATCTGGTACAGGCAGTACCTGGAGTACTTTTTTAAGAGGGGCTCCTGAGCCCTTACCCAGAACACCTGAATTAGATTCTTTTTGAAGCTTGGGGAACTTGCCAGGGTGATTTCCTGTGCACAATATAACCAAGGTCTTTGGGAAGTCAATTTACTAGCAGAATAGGTGCTGGATGGCTATAGGGCAAAAGGAAGGAGTTGGACGATCTTAAGGCTGATGCTACTGTCTTCCAGACTAGGGCAGAGACTATCAAGGAAATAATTGTAATAATCATAACAATTATTCTAAACTAGTTGTTTTAGTGCTTTCTACCCTCTTCTGCATACTTGACATTATTAGCTTACTTACTACCCATAATAACTTTCCAAGATGGGCAATATTATTCTCGTCTTACAAATGAGTAACCTGCCCAAGTCACTGGGTTGGCAATGCCCATGACTCTGGGCCAGAGAGCACCATGCCATGGTCAATGCCGGAAGCACATCAGCAAACTGATACATCTTTACTCTTAGACTGTCCTTTTTATCTTATTTTTAATTATTACAGGCACATAATAGTTGTATATCTGTATAGGGTCATGTGATTTTTGATACAGGCATACAATATGAATTAATCAAGTCAGGGTAATTGGGGATCCTTCACCTCAGGCATTTAACATTTCCTTGTGTTAGGAACCTTCCAATTCCACTCTTTTAGTTATTTTAAAGTGTGCCCTAAGTTATTTTTGGTTATAGTCACTTTCTTGTGCTACCAAATATTGCTCACTCTATCTATCTATCTAACTATATTTTTGTACCCATTATCCATTCCCACTTTATCCCTCCCCACTACCCTTCCCAGTATCTGGTAACCATAATGCTTACTCTGTTAGACTCTCTGCTTTTTATGGATATTCTGAAGACCCAGTGGCCTTTATATATTTTACATTTTGGTTGTATCTCCAAGTTTATATTCTGTTTGCTTTAATTATATTTCAAAGCTGGCCTGAGGGACTTGTCTCAATTTGAGACTTCTTAGTCTCACTGAGTAACTCTGGGAAGCATTCTACCAGCCACAAGTTCTCAAATCATTTCAGCAAAATGCCTTCTGCAGATGGTTGCTTTAATTCATAAAACTGATCTTTGTTAGAAGGGAGCATATCCAAACTTTTGTCTCCAATTACTAAAGCTTACCCTTTGGAGAGCTTCTATCCTTTAAGTAAAGCTTTTTTGAAAATGGACACACACACATACACACACCCTCTGATGGACTATGTAATCGATTAGGTTTCACCAATAACTTTTGCCTTATGGCAAAAAAGAAAAGAGATGGAGAAGAAAAAGAAAAACAAAGATTATGGGGCACAGATCTGATCTGAATGAGATAAAGAATTGAGAATTGAGACAGGATAGTTCACACAACTTTCAGCAAAGAGCTGCCTGGAGTTACCAGGGAAAGGAAGTGGATATGTCTGGGCAAAAGGCACCAAGGGCAAAGCCATGGAAGCAGGCCCTTGTAACTTAGAAACAGACAAAATGTTTGACTCGGAAGCATCACAGTGCTTCCTAACAATGCCCATGATGTAAAACGTTACTTTATGGCTATCTTATTTCTTTGCCACTTAAAAAAACACAGATTATTTTAAAGATGTGATGCTTACCTGCAGCATTCACAATTCTGTTTGCTCTCAAAGATCCCTGGGGTGTTTCAACGTCCCATGTTCCATCTGACCTGAGTTTCAGAGAAGTCACCGGTGCAGGATATTTTAAAAGGGCACCATATTTCCTAGCCCCAACAGCCAGGGCCATCGTTAGAGAATAAGGATCAATGTGACCATCTCCAGGATTATACAATCCAGCTAAAACCTAAATCAATCATAACAGAGTCAATTTTCAAATGGATACACATTTTTTACTCAGTCTAAATATATTCTGCTGGAAAACTGGACTTTAAAAATGTTTCCTAATCTTGAAGGGGACTAGGTCCCTGAAGTCTTCATGAAAAAGTGCCACCATTCAAGTCTTAGACTGCCAAAATGAAAATAAATAAATAAATGAATGAATTTCTAGCTTGCTTAAGCAGTATTATTTTGGTTTCTGGTATTTGAAGGCAAATCTAATCCTAATACATCAATTATAATTTATATGCAACTGTTTAATGCTATCAATAAATGCACATGTTAAAGACATATCTGGTGTCAGGAAAATGTCTGGTACGATTAAGCAGTGAAGTCATCTGGGCCCAGGCTTTTCTTTGAGGGAAGTTTTTGATTACTACTTTAATCTTTTCACTTATTATAGGTCTAGTGCAAGGGACTTTTGGTTTTAATGGAATTCACATTTCTGAGGACTTCTAAATGTGGTACGGGTGCTTTATAATAGATATACCCTCATTGTAGGGATCCAGTATCTGTTTGCATCAGTACCCTGTCTCATATCCAGTATTTCCACTGCCTAAGGCCCTGGAGACACCTGAGTGATGGTGAGGACTTCCAGCAAAGCATTCCAGGATTGACATATAAACAGCTTAAAGCATATCCTTACTAACATCAGAGATGGGGCTCGGCGCCTATAGCTCAACCGGCTAAGGCGCCAGCCACGTACACCTAAGGTGGCGGGTTCGAATTCCCAGCCCGGACCCGCCAAACAACAATGACGGCTGCAACCAAAAAATAGCCGGGCGTTGTGGCGGGCGCCTGTGGTCCCAGCTACTTGGGAGGCAGAGGCAGGAGACTGGCTTGAGCCCAGGAGTTGGAGGTTGCTGTGAGCTGTAATGCCACAGCCCTCTACCCAGGGGGACAGCTTGAGGCTCTGTCTCAAAAAAAAAAAAAAAAAAAAAAAATCAGAGATGGGATTTCAATGCCAACAATGCTGTGCAACACCAACCTGCCAACAAGATGTCACACAAAACTACAGGCAAGGGAGTGCCTGCAGCCTGTAAAGACATGGGACAAACAACCCTAGCACCCAGATCAATGACATGAACCTTTGGAAGTTGGAACTGCTGCAGCACTCACCCTCAGGGAAACAAACATCTGCCTCCCAAACAGCCCCACCTGGCACACTTGGAAAGTATGCACAGTGTAAGGGGGCAGAAAGCCTGGATTTCGATCTCTGCTCCAGCTCCTTCCAATGAATGAGCTTGGGCTTGCCACCTACACTGTCTAAGCTACCATCCTGATTAGTAATAATACATACCTTATAGTATTATTGGGAATTAAATGAAATTATGCATGTAAAGGGCTTAGCATATTAACTGGTACATAAATACAGACATATGCTGGAGTGTCAGTCATTGTTATCATCCTTCAAAAGAGGTTATCACCCAGTGGGAAAAAACACAAAGTCCTTAGTCAAGTGGATTCGCTCAGGCAAATGTGGTATAAATCTAGATTTATACATGGCCCAGAGTGTACAAGGGAAGTACAGCTATGAGTTACGTGGTGGTATTTGTGCAGCAATATAGCATGGTACTGCTTAATGAAAAAGAAAATTAATAACACAATCTTTCTAGATATGTATTTATCATACTAAGTTATTCTCTCTGTAGTTCTCAAACAGAAGGTTTATGTGTGAAAACCCTTAGATCTGGAGGAAACAGTAATAGAAAAGTATTAAAAATGTTTTATCAAGGGCAGCACCTATGGCTCAAAAGAGTAGGGCGCCGGCCCCATATGTCAGAGGTGGTGGGTTCAAACTCCCCCCCCATGTTTTTGTCAACAACAAAAAAATGTTTTATCAGTCTCAGCATCCGTAGCTCAGTGACTAGGGTACCAGCCACATACATCAGATCTGGCGAGTTTGAACCCAGCCTGGGCCTGCCAAACAACAATGACATCTACAACCAAAAAAAACAGCTGGGTGTTGTGGTGAGCACCTGTCATCCCAGCTACTCGGGAGGCTGAGGCAAGAGCATTACTTAAGCCCAAGAGTTTGAGGTTGCTGTGAGCTGTGACATCATGTTACTCTACCAAGGGTAACAAACTAAGGCCCTGTCTCAAAAAAAAAAAAAAGTTTTATCAGTTTTCATAGGTGGAAAACTAAGATTTTTCATATTTTATTTAGCATATATAACAGCCCACTTTGTAATTTATCCCAGTTGAATATTAATCATTTGATTTGGCTGTTCAAATGTGTGCACAAAATTTTTCTGTTTTAAATTAACTGCTTAAAATTTTATCTAATTTTAATTTAAGTCAACAAATGATGAAAATGCCCTGAAGATAAATACCTTATTCATGTTGAGCAAAGGGAACATCTCTTGAATTTTTTCAGGTTCAATAATATACTGTTCTGTTGCATGCCAGCCAGTCCGAGTCATTTGATATTTAAACTCATCTACCCTCACAGGGGTTGTAGCAAGTCTGATACTACCTGGCTGATGGAATCCCACCACCTGTGACAATAATTCCAAGGAAAGCACATAAATAAATCATTATTTGGCACTCAAACATGGTTCTCCTCCAGCACAACAAAAATGCAGCTGTACAAGAAATGAGATTTCCTATGAGCAAAAGAGATAATTGTTTAAAATATTTGCATCTTATAAAAATACATTCATTCATCAACTGCAGTGAATACTAAATGTCTCTTCTGTGCCAGTCAAATATTCTAAGCCTCAGAGATGTCAGGGTGAACAAAAATAGCAAAGACCCTGCCTAGGGGGACTGTACATTCTACAGTTAAAGAGAAATGTAAAAATGCATAATTACAACAACATGGGATGAGTGTTAATGTGCAGAGCAGAAGAAAATTATATGAAAAAGAGAAAGACACAGAATTTATGGGCAGATTATGAAGAATCAAAATGTTGTGATGATATTACTGAAGTCCTCCTGTTTGCCAGGCACTTGTCTAGGCTCTGGGTTAGAGACATAAAAGATGCAGTCCTTGCCTTCAAGCTGCTCTTAATCTATAAGACCAACCAGTAAAGCCACAATTAGAATAGGGAGGTATTGGGGTTATGGGTGTGCTCAAGTGCTCTTAGAACTGAGAGATGTTCCCCTAGCTTGGCCTGGCTGGCAGGCAGGGATGGTCAAGAAAGGCTTCTCAAACGGTGAACCCAGGGAAGGTAGAGGGTGGATGAGGAAGATGAGGCCAGAGGGAATGTAGTTTCCGGCAGAGAAAGCAACAGGAAAAACAGAACACAATACAAGAAACACAAACAGTGATTTGAAAGCTCAGCATATTCCAGAACTGTATGTAATTGAGAACAGCTGAAGCACATGCGCCAAGGGGAGAGTGGCAAGAGAAAATGTTGGAAGGGTAGGCAGATGTCAGCCGAGGAAGGTCAGGCTCCCAAGGCCGTGCTAATTAGTTGACTGTATCCTGTAGACTACGGAGAACCATCTGATGGTTTTAGGAGAGAGAGAGAATACAAATCTGAGTAGGCTTCAATCTCAGCCTATGAATACCCTCTGCTTCGCCACTTTATTTTGGGAGAATGAGTAAATATGAGAACGGATAAAAATAAGGGGTGGGGGGCATTTAGTGGAGTACTTTTCAAAGCTGTCCGACAATCTGGCACACGCTGCTCTCAGATCCTTTGCAATCCAATTGCTAAAAGGCTCCAATTTCTTAGTTTCTAGATATAGTAACTGGCTGAAGATATTTTTGAAAGTTCCTTTTTATTCTTTCTTCATTTAAAAAATAAAAAGGGTTAATTATATGGATAATACACTTCAAGAAATTAAATTTATTTTCAAGCAAACTCTAGGAGGCTCTTTCTATATACCCTTATCACATTTCTCTACCGCATTAATCACTGCCCGTGCCAGTGACATCACGACACGCAGCCACCCAGGATGTGAGAGAGAGACTGAGCGAACAAACGGTTTCAAGTTAAATGCACTTACCTGCCCAGTTTCTTCTTCCAGTTTCTCATAAAGTTTGATGCTATCATAATGGATTTTCTTCAAATTTATTCCAGGATGAAAGTAGGTTGTTAAACCTGCCTTAAAAGCAAGGAAGAAAAGAAATACTGGAAAAGTTAACCTCCTCGAAATGTTGATAGTGTATCTGTGAAGCAGTAATTCAATGCTGGCAAGACCCTGAGAAGCGTCAGCCAATGCTCTGGGACGAGAACACATCCGCAGCTTGAGCACACCAGAGCATAAGGCCCGTGACAGGGTATAAGAAGCAATTTGAACTGTGTAAGTAGAGTGAGAGCCAGGCCAGTGAATATACACATTAAGTTTCTAAGAGTTACCAGGAAAGGGCTGTTTAGGGATTCAGAAATGGGATAATTTAGACGGAAGATTTAGGAATAGGCACTATTAAGAAGTAGAGGGAAATGACATCCAGTGTGGCTCAAGCCAACATACTGCGCATGCTCCCTTAAGTGGGAAGACCATGGGACTAGCAAAGGAACTTATTTATTTTCAGTTTTTGGCCAGGGCTGGGTTTGAACCCGCCACCTCTGGCATATGGGGCCGGCGCCCTACTCCTTTGAGCCACAGGCGCCGCCCACGAAGGAATTTAATTTTTCACCCCATCCCTACCTTTCATTTGAATGGAGCAGCCCTCCTATCCCTTTCCAGAAATTGCAAAATTCAACAGTAAGAAAATTCCTTCTGATTGGAGCCTGGTGTATAGGGGAGCAGAGTTTTGTCAAAGCTTAATTGTTTGATAAGCACATAAATGGCATGCCACAAATGTTTGTTGAGTTGATACTGATTAATTACTCTCAGGAAAAATATCTAAACATTAGCTGCATCAAACCCCCTTTTATCAACTGGGGCAGATGCACGCTAGTATCCCGACAAAGAATTCTAAGCAATGATAATGAAGCAGGTTCTCTCAATTAGGTCTCTGGGACCTCATTTTGCAGTTCATTTATCCTGGAAAGCTCATCAAAACACAACCTGTTCACAATAAAACCATTTAGGAGTATTTATAAGGTACTTCTATGGCAGTGGTGAGCATTTGGTCCTCCTCAACTCAGAAACACCCCATTAAAGTTTGTCATTCATCCTTTAAGAACCCAAACCCTGGGGCTTGTAGCCAGTATTTTGTTCAAGCATCTCTGCTTACCCAGAACTGATGTTTTGCTTTTTGGTTTGGGGAGGTTTTTTGAGATAGAGTCTCACTCTGTTGCCCAGACTAGAGTGCCATGGCCTCAGTATAGCTCACAGCCACCTCAAACTTCCTGGGTTCAAGTGATCCTCCAGTATTAGCCTCCCAAGTAGCTGGGACTACAGGCATGTACCAGGATGCCTGGCTAATTTTTTTATTTTTAGTAGAGTCGCTGCCCAGCTCTTGCTCAGGCTGGTCTCAAATTCCTGAGCTCAAGTGATCCTCCTGTCTTGGCCTCCCAGAGTGCTAGGATTATAGGTGTTAGCCACTATGCTGGCCTACAGAATTGTCTTTTTTTTTTTTTGAGACAGAATCTCACTTTGTCACCCTCAGTAGAATGCCATGGTGTCACAGCTCACAGCAACCTCAAACTCTTGGGCTCAAGCGATCCTCTCGCCTCAGCCTTCCACGTAGCTGGAAGTATAGGCACCCGCCACAACACCTGGCTATTTATAGAGACAGGGGTCTCATTCTGGCTCAGGCTGGCTTCAAACCTGTAAGCTCAGGCAATCCACCTGCCTCGGCCTCCCAGAGTGCTAGGATCACAGTCGTGAGCCACCGCGTCCAGCCTTAGAGCTGGGTTTTTTTTTTTTTTTTTTTTTTTGAGAACAATTTTGGCCTGGCTTATTGGATGTCCTGTAGAGCAGCTCGTGTAGGAGTAGAGAAGGGCGTCCACTCCGGTGGAACTGCAAGCCAGGCTCTCTGGCCTGCTGGTCAAACATCCCCTCTCCGTTTACATGGTGGTATTCAATGTGCATATGACCTTTTGTGATTCAATAAAAGAGAAGCTCTGGCCTTGATGTCTGCTAGTGACCCCAATTTTGTCTTTAATATATCTCTTGTCCGTGAGAAAACTGATAATCACAAGCACTGGCCTAGGGTGCTGATTGCCGTTCACTTCTCAAGATCTTCCGAGCTTTACACCTGGGTTGAGCCAGACCACCAGAAAGTTATCTATCTACATTGTATAATCCTCATCTTCCCCACTCCAGAAATTATACGTTAAGTTTCTTTCATCTGAAAGAGTCATACAGGTTCATTTCGTAAAGCTGTTATTTAAGACATTTAGCCCAGTGTATTTTGTTTAGGTAACACATTCTTTTAGAAATTCATGGTCGAGGAAAAGTCAGTTTCCCTTGCTGCAATAGTAATCCTACTTCTACTGAACAATTTCTATTAACCTCTTTTCCTTACTGCTAGGATAGTCAGAAGGAAGATATGGATTCCATTTTCTCAGCCAGCTATAAAAATTAATTATTTTTATTTATAATAATTAAAAATTATTTAATTATTTTTATTCTCTTAAGCATTGGCTTTTGCCTTTTAATCTGTGTTTAAAATTGAGGGTTTACCCACATTAGTGTTTCCACTGAAATTATCTGTGTGTGACATCTGGCATGGTATCTACTGTTAATTGAAGTGCCAGTCTTGCAACATTGAACTTAAAGAAGGAACAATGTTTTTCTATTTTTAGTAAAGATGGGGTCTCACTCTTATTCAGACTGGTCTCAAAATCCTGAGCTTAAGGAATCCTACCCACTCAGCCTTCCAGAGTGCTAGGATTATAGGTGTGAACACACTGCACATGACCCCAGTAAATATTTTTGAGCATAACTACTAAAATACGTGTATTTAGGCTTGGCGCCTGTTGCTCAGTGGTTAGGGCACCAGCCACAAACACCTGGGCTGGCTGGTTGGAACCCTGCCTGGGCCTGCTAAACAACAATGACAACAACAATAACAACAACAAAATAACCAGGCGTTGTGGCGGGTGCCTGTAGTCCCAGCTATTTGGGAGGCTAAGGCAAGAGAATTGCTTAAGCCTATGAGTTTGAGGTTGCTGTGAGCTGATGCCACAGCACTCTACTGAGGGTGACATAGTAGACTCTATCTCTAAAAAAAAAAAAAAAAAGTATTTATTTCTTTACATATGCTATGTAAATATCAATAGAGATCATAAAGGCTGGTAATGGCAGCTCACAACTGTAATCCTAGCACTTTGGGAGGCTGAGGCGGGTAGATTGCCTGAGTTCAGGAGTTAGAAACCAGCCTGAGTAAGAGTGAGACTCTGTCTCTACTAAAATTAGAAAAACTATCTGGGTGCTGTGGCGGCACCTGTAGTCCCAGCTACTCAGGAGGCTGAGGCAAGAGGATTGATTGAGCCCATGAGTTTGACATTGCTGTGAACTATGATACCATGGCACCCTACTCAGGGCTACAGAGTGGGACTCTGTCTCAAAAAAAAAAAAAATAGAGATCATAAACATACAAAAGCAACCTGGAAGGAGTGCAATATTGAACATAATTTTTATTTTATTTATTATGTAGAAAGCTTTTGAATATTAAAATAACATTTTAATGTGGCTCAGTACAATGGTTAGGGCAGCCACATACACTGAGGCTAACGGGTTCAAAACCAGCCTGGGCCAGCTAAACAACAATAAAACTGCAACAGAAAATAGCCGGGCATTGTGGCAGGCGCCTATAGTCACAGCTACTTGCTACTTGGGTGACTAAGGCAAGAGAATCACTTGAGCCCAAGAGTTGGAGGTTGCTGTGAGCTGTAACGCCATAGCACTCTACCCAGGGTGACATAGTGAGACTCTGTCTCAAAAAAAACAAAAAACAAAAAACATTTTAACCAGCACTAGTGATGAACGCATTTCATTATTAAAATATATATACTATATTAACATGCACAACATAGCAATGTAAAGGCCTGGTTCTGGGTTTATTTTGAAACTGCTTTTAATGCCTGTGGTGGTTGGAGAAGACACCCCTCAATAATACACAGACCCTGGTGGGACAAGCATGTGCCATTCTTTTGGTATCTCCTGCACTGGGCTCTCAGCAGCTTAACACCCCTTTTTCCATCCCAGTCCCTAGGTTTTCTGACCTCATATTCTCTTGACTATCAGTTGTTGTTACAACCTAATTGAACTAAGTATTGCTTTTTTGTTTTTTATTTTAAATAAATGGTGACAAAGCTCAGTAAAACTCCTCCTACAGAAAAATTTTAAGTGGGTTAACATTTATTTTTCACCTATATGAGTTTTTCTGGGTGATTCGTATCATTTTGGCCAGAAAACCTGATAACAATACCAATTTTTACAAACATCCCTTTTCAAAATGTTCTCTTCCCAACCCAACTATTTTGCAAAAGGCAGTCATTTCTCACTTACTGAAAGCATCACTTTTACTTTGTAGAGCTGAGGACTGCATCTATTTTTTAAACATATAATCTGCTATGTAGAAATAAGTGGCATCCATTTCCATCACTGCCAAAGTCAGCCTTACTTGGGACACCTGTCTTTTTGTAAAAGAAAAACTTATCTTTAAGTTTCAAATCTTTTTTAACTATGGCTAGGAGATACCCTCAAATCTCTGTGTAGTATAAGACTCTCAAGTTCACCCCTGGTCCTTTCATTACAAATTATATTGTTTAAAGCCCTGTTTCTATAAAACTAATCACAATGGGTATACTGTATAACCCACTAGGCTATACAATCTGCACTAGGTCATGATATACAGAAGACAAAAGAAAGAATGTGGCTCCCCCACCGTGGACTGCCAACCTCCCCCTTAGTCAACCTTGAAACCATACACAATATGTCACCTACATCAAATGTGAGGGCTACTTATAAACACTAGTAACCCTAATTTCTTTCTTACATTTGTAGATAAAAACAAATGGTAAGTTTTAATATTCTCTCCCTAGCCCCCCCCCCCAAATAGACTGCCTTGCATCTTTAGTCCTCAGCTCTCCAAAACAACTGCCTTGGACCCCAGCCTCTACTGGGGACCCCATTCTCCAAAACTACTTTTCACTCCAACCTCTCCCCTTTCCCTCCACCCAAAATGACATGCTTTGTATTGTTAGGAATATCATGAGATGACAAAGCAGTCTTGCTAAGATATATCAAAACATTAGGATTTAGGGATTCGTGATTCTATTTTGAATGTTCACTTTGCAGGCCGTGCCTTCGCCCTGCCTTCCTCCCCAGGCACCGGATTCCTGCACTCTCCAGATGCTTTTGTCATGGAGCACCTATTATACCTCAGTGAGACTGACTTAATTTGTGTAGTCTGCCCCTTTCATCTGGTTCCCCAACCTTCCATATTCTCATATCTTCTCCACAGATTTCTCTGTGCTAAACATTTCTAATATATGACAGTTCTTCATGTTGCTCCTCACAGGGAGAACTCTATGACTTGCAAAAAAAGAAAAAAAAACCTCCTAGGACAGCTCTCTTATCTTTTATTCCAAGGACACCAAAGAACCTGGCTTCTGATGCCTGATTCCACTCTGAGCTGGCACTGCATGAATCCTCGTTGTGCAAACCTGTCTACAAGGCCAGACGATGCCCTTGCCATTCATTTGGTATCTCCTGCACAAGGAAAATGATTGTGTGCTGTTGACTTTTAACAACAACACAAAAAATCACCTTAACAACTTTGCTCACTTTTCTTAAAGGAACTTAGATTAAGGGTAGGTTGCTTTTCATTTCGTGGACATCTAAGAAACAAAATCCCAGGGAATCTCATAAGCTATTCAAAACGCAGGCCACAGGAAGTCAGTATTATAAATGAGGAAATAAAGAATTTAAACATGAAAGTGTATGCCCTCCTTAGCCCTCCAGAAGCAGTGGGGGGGGGGTGGGGTGTGAGCCCTCCCTCACAGGATATTTCTTTCCACTTGCCTAAATTTCTCTCCACCTAAATGTTCTTTCCTGGGTAGCCTTGCAGCTTGCTTACCGCTTCCAAGTCCCTGCTCCAGTGCCACCTCTTTGAAGTAGCCTCCCTCAAGCCTCCTTCTCTTTCCCCAGCATTCTACATCCTTTATTTTACATTTCTTCATGGCGCTGATGACTCTCTAGCACTGTTGTGTGCTTTCTCTCTGCCCCACTAGAAGGTGCCCTCCATGAGGACAAGGGCTTCAATGGGGCTTCAGTCTGGGCAGCGCTCTGCCCAGAGTCAGCCAGGGGCAGGCAACCCTTCTCATGCAAAACTCCCTCTTTGCCCTTCTTAGAGCAGCTGCGGAATATCAAAAAGCCCCTGAAAGCAGGGTTCCCTCTTTTCAGCAGAGGAAAGCAAGCTAAGGACAAAAAGGGGGGATGATGCAAAGAGGCTAATGCTGCCTCAATCTCCCTCTAAAAGAAAATTGCACCAGTAGCCATAAACACTTCCTCTCCTATTCTTAGCTGGGTTCGGAAATAATGGCAATGTGAGGGCAGTGGCAGGCACCTCATGTACCTGAGTAGCTTTCTAGTTAAGCCCAATTACTGGGCAGCACTGGAACAGTTACGGATACCATCAAGGATGCAGGTGTGACTTGGTCTTGTGTTTTATTTAACACAAAAGCTGCACACATTCATAGTCCTGATATTTAGGTCCTTGTGAGGCCAGGTTGTCTCACCACACAGAATTCACATCACAATGTGGGGAAACAGAGTATAGGTAAATGTCCTAGGATCACCCAGCCAATATCCTTTCATACAAAAGCTAACACTTACTATTAAACACTTACCATGTGTTTAATAACTTTGCACATATGAACTTGATCTTCATCCCAACCCTATTAGGTTGGTACTATTGATGTCCCCATTAAGGCATCAGAAAATGGAAACTTATGTAACTTGTTAAAAGTCATGTGGGTAGAAAATGGCCAAGCCAGGATTTGAATCCAGAAGCCCTATGTTCAAATAAAGACATCATGAACGTTGATCGCTGCCTGGAGTACACCCGTTAAACTGCAATTATGCTTCAACTCTACTGAAAAGGAACGCTCTCCAGAGAGCCTGCGGATGAGAGTTGTGAACAGGAAGGAAATGGACTACGCTGGTGCACAACTCTGTGGATAGGACAGTTGGGGGGTGCTTTTCTTACTGCGTGCCAGGTAGACCCAGCTGTGAGCTCCGATTTCTCCAGCAGGACCACGTCCTTCATCCCCGCTTTAGCCAGGTGATAGGCCAGACTCACACCGATGCAGCCCCCTCCAATGATCACAGTTTCTGCTCTGTCTTTCCATTTTGCTTCTGCAGGTAAGAGTGACTTTTCGTCTCTGGAAGAAATTTTTTTAAAAATATGAACTTTACTCAGCTGTGGCAGCTATAGTTTTGATCTAATGTGCTTAACACCTGGTGACAATAAGATTTGCACGGTGCTCAGTTATTCACTGGGGCATCTCAACTCTAACTTACGGTAACCTGGCTAGGGAAGAGAAGAGGAGGCCTTGGAGCCCCATTCCACGTAATGATTCTGGTCCACTCTAACTAATAGAGCCAAGGAAATGAACAAGTAGCTTCTTTTTCCCCCAAAGAACCCTAGAGAATGATTTTTCTTACCTAAAGAACACACATTATAATCATTTAAGTTTAGCACCTTTAAATCTTGGATCACTGCCAGTGCTCTCCAGGCTGAAGAGAGCCAGACGGAATAAAATGATCGTTCTTGTTTGCCTTCCTCTCACTGGGGACGTGCTTCACGAATTGTAATTATTACTCAGTGGTTAATATAATTATTTGTGTGACTGTCTTCCTACCTGGACTAGGAGCTTCGCAAAGGCAGAGACAATGTATTATTCATCACTGCGGCCCGTCCCCTCATGGTGCCCATCTCTTGTGTGTGTGCTTTGAATGAATACATTGACAATTGCCGTGACTTACTCTCCAGCCTCTACTGACCATACTTTCCCCCCAAAGAACGTAATTCTAGTAGAGACAGTGCTCATTGGGGGAGGGAGGGTTGTTAATTATCACCACAGGTTATACTTTTGATATGTATATTTCATTCATCCAATCGTCCCTTAGTCATCAAGTATTTCCAGAGTACTTCTTTTCATAAACAGGGCACTACACTTCATTTCAGTGATGAGCCCAAACAAACATTATCTCTAGTCTCTTAAGCTTACAACATAGTTGGCCTGGGGGAACAGTCAGATAAAACACGAATGTGGAGATTACAGCAATAAAAGTTGCTACGAGGAGGACTGAGTCTATATGGAGGAAGCTTGCTTATGTGAGGTCTGCAGGATGAGAAAGAAAGAAAGATGAGTGAGGAAGAATATTCCAGGCTGTGGGGACGTTCTGTGGCAGGAAAGCACAGGGAGAATCCAGGACACTGAACAACCACAAAGTTGTAGAGATGACGTCCCATCCCAGGGGCTCTCTTTTGGTCTAGTCTCGTAGTTCATTGCTGTATGCTGAGCGCCTAAAACAGTAGGCACTCAATAAATGCTGTTGAGTATATTCGTGAATAATATGCTTTTTCTTACTATTTTCTTCTTTCCTAGTCACTAATCCTTTCTTCACATTAACTTCCAACTTAGTGATTTTACAATGTGAGTTATTAAAAATACCAGAAAGAGTCCACGTGTTTTACTTTGGTAATACAAAAGTCTAAAAATTGTAATTCTGAGGATGAGTTTTAAACTGATAGAAAAGACCAGATAGAATCTTTCCCTAGAATTGACATAATGATACTAATTATACCATCCATTTTATTACCTTTATTTGGAAGGAGGTAATATATTTTACCTGATGAATATAATATTGCTAAAGAGTCTTGATATCTAAATTCTAATCTGCCTTCAACATTTATCTAGACCAGTGGTTCTCAACCTTCCTAATGCCGTGAACCTTTAATGCAGTCCAAAGGGGTTGTGACCCACAGGTTGAGAACCACTAATCTAGACTAAAGACTTATATTTTCTTTATTGGTTTAACTGATTGGGGGAATATTTTCTTTCCATTTTCACATAATTTCAGACTTTGAGAAAAGTTGCAAGAATTATGCAATGAATTCTTAGAATACCTAGAAGGGAGATGATATATACAATTAACTCTCAAATATTTCAGAATATGCACACATACATTTATTAATAGTTTACATGCAATCGTGCACCACACAATGACATTTCAGTTAACAACAGACCACATATGTGATGGTGGTCCCATTAGATTGTAAGGGCCATCTCATATAGCCTAGGTATATGGTAGTCCATGCTATCTAGGTTTGTGTAAGTTTTTGCACAATAATGAAATCTCCTAATGATACATTTCTCAGAACATATCCCTGGGGTTAAGCAATACATGACTAGGTACACACATCTAGGCTATGCGGTACTAGGCTGCCAATCTGTAGGCAACTCAATACAATAGTAAGGATTTGTATATCTAAAAATATCTAAAACATAGAAAAGGTATAGCCAAAGGTGGCAGAAGAAATGGTCCACCTGTACAGGACACTTACTAAGAATGGAGGATTGGAAGTTGCTCTGGGTGAGTCAATGAGTGAGTAGTGAGTGAATACGAGGGCCCAGGCCTTACTGTACAAAACCTTTCAACATTGCATGCTTAGGCTATACACTAAATTTATTTTAAAAATCTTTTCTTTAATAAAAAATTGTGGCTCGGTGCCTGTAGCTCAAGAGGCTAATGCACCAGCCACATACGCCAGAGCTGGCGGGTTCAAGTCCAGCCTGGGACCTGCCAAACAACAATGACAACTACAACCAAAAAATAGCCAGGCATTGTAGCAGTTGCCTGTAGTCCCAGCTACTTGGGAGGCTGAGGCAAGAGAATCACTTAAGCCCAAGAGTTGGAGGTTGCTGTGAGCTGTGACACCACAGCACTCTGCTGAGGGTGACATAGTGAAACTCTCTCTCAAAAAAAAAATGTTGCATAGCTGTACGGAAATATTTTCATTCTTTTTTATCTTTATTCTATATGCTTTTTTATATTAATCTTGTTTACTTTTTTAACTTTTTTATTAAAAACTAAGACACAAACAAAACATCAGCCTAGGCCTATAGCGGATCAGGATTGTCAGTATCATTGTCTTCTCCCACCTGGAAGGTTTCCAGGGGTAATGACAGGCAGGGAGCTATCATCTGGAATACCATATACCTCCTGAAGGACCTGCCTTTTAAAAAAAAAAAAAAACAAACTTTTTTTTTTTTTTAATAAATAGGAGCATACTCTAAAATAATGATAAAAAATGGAGTGTAATAAAAACTGGCCAGATGAGGTGGCTCATGCCTGTAATTCTAGCACTCTGGGAAGCCGAGGCAGGAGGATCCCTTGAGATCAGTAGTTCAAGACTGGCCTGGGCAAGAGCAAGATCTCATATCTACTAAAAATAGAAAAATTAGCTGGGCATTGTGGTGGGGACTTGTAGTCTCAGCTACTCAGGAGGCTGAGGCAAGGGGATCACTTGGACCCAGGAGTTTGAGGTTGCTGTGAGCTAGGCTGATGCCATGGAACTCTAGCCTGGGCAACAAGAGTGAGACTCTGTCTCAAAAAAAAAAAAAAAAGGAAGTGTAGTATTAAAAACTAGGCAACAGGGTGGCACCGGTGGCTGAAAGGAGTAGGGCGCCAGCCCCATATACAAAGGTGGTAGGTTCAAACTCGGCCCCAGCCAAAAATTGCAAAAAAAAAAGAAAACCAGGCAACAAAAATTTTTCGGATCTATTATAATCTTATGGGACTGCCATGACATAATATATGTGGTCTACTGTTTATCAAAACTTCATTATGCAGCACGTGACTGTACATATATGCATAATATGTATATGTGTACAACTTTTAGAGTAAATTGCAAATATCAAATCTATTTACTTATAAATACTCCTGTGCTAAGTTTCCTAAGAAAAAAGACATTCTCTTACATAACTGTCATGCTGTTATCAAAATCAAGAAATGTAATATCGGCTGGGTGTCTGTATCTCAGTGGTTAGGGCACCAGTCACATACTTCAGGGCTGGTGGGTTCGAACCTGGCCCAGGCCTGCTAAACAAACAAACAAACAAAAAATTAGCCAGGCTTTGTGGCAGGTGCCTTTAGTCCCACCTACTAGGGAGGTTGAGGCAAGAGAATCACTTGAGCTCAAGAATTTGAGATGACATGAGCTGTGATGCTACGGCACTCTACTGAAAGCCACATAGTGAGACTCTGTCTCAAAAAAAAAAAAAAGAAAAAAATTTATTATCAACATAATACTATTATCTCATCTATAATCCATATTAACATTTAATCAATTATCCCAATAATGTATTCTTAGCCACTTTTTCCAGTCAAAGATAAGTCCAGTGTCCTGTCTTTTTACTCCCTTTAATTTAGAGGAGTTCCTCAGACTTCCTTTACGTTTCATGACCTTAACGTTCTTTAAGAGTACTAGCTACTTTACAGTTCTAGCTTTATAGGACCTATTATGGAACCTATAGTTCTACTTGATAGAACCTTTTTTACTCTGAGTTTGTCTGGTGTTTCCTGATGATTAGATTTAGGTTATGCAGTTGGGCAGAAATATCATGGCAGTGACGCTGTGTCCTTCCCAGCACATGTGATTAGGAAGCATGTGATGTTGGTTTGTCCCAATGTTGATGTTTTTGATGTCTGAGCATTTGTCTGTCAGATTTATCCAGTAAAGTTACATTTTCTCCTTTGTATAGGTAACACTGTAGAGTGTGCCTTTGAGACCATGTGAATATCCTGTTCCTTATCAAACTTTTCCTGAGTGGTTTTGCAATCTGCTCCTTATTACCTAACTCCATCATTCCTATCATATTCATCAGTGGGCAGTAAGCGTTTTCCTTTCACTCCTGTTTAGTTGTTGTTTATATTATTATAATAAGAACTTATGAATGCTTATTATATTCAGGTATTTGCTGGGTTACAATCCATTACTATCCATCATTTATTTTAATGCCAAATTGTCTCAGATTTGACCAGCAAGAGGTTCTTTAAGTTGACTCCTGTATCCTGTTGACATGGTCACATGATTCTTGGAGCACTTTCTAATTTTCTGGTGCCACAATAACTTCTGGTACTTTTGTTTAACTGGTTTTTAAATGACTTTTATCATCTCTCTGTGTGCCATGTAAGAAAAAAGATAATGCCCATGTGATTTAACTACTTTGCATAGAAATCTGTTTTTGATGGCCTGAGTGGGTATACCTTGTACTTTAGCTGAAATCATTCCAGTGTTGAGAAACAATAATAAGTTTAAAGGTTTTGTTTTTGGTGTGTTCAGACGAAAGATTACTTCTTTTACGACAGCGGTCAGGTTAAAAAAAAAAACAACCCCCCCCAACTTTTTAAGATCAGGAAACCTGAGTTTGAGTCCCCAATCCAACTGAATAGCTATTTTAGGGAAATTTAGACAAAAATGTCAAAATGTCCTCATCTAAAACCTGGGGACATGAAGGTTCCATTTGGAAATATACAATAAAGCATTATTGAATGTACATTGTTGCTCTGCCCAGCATGCCATTGTGGGTTCCAGGCCAGTGTTTTTAATTATGAGTATAACTATCTTAAATTCCTTCTGGATACTATAGTCAGGGGTAGTCATAATTTTTAAAATTTATTTTTATCATTTTTATTTTTTTTATTGGATAGCACAGGGGAGGCGACCTCTTCAGAAAAGCAGTAGTGGTGTGGCTGGGTCCATGGCCTTTCCAAGGATGTGTGTGCACTCCAGAAGGAAAACCACCTCTGCTGTCTTATAAGCCAGGAAAGGAAAAGTTCCCCAGATCAAATGCCAGGGTTCACTAGCTCCTCAGAGGAGCCAGACAGGAGCAAACCCTCCCTGTGCTCCCAATGAATACTTAACTTGAACTTGTCATAATTTTTTTTGAATAAGTAAAGAAGGAGTGTGCTAAAAACCCAGGTCACCTATCTTCTGTATTAGAATAAAAAATTTTTAATTGTTGTATGCTTGTCCAAATGCTCTCCAAAATAAAAAGCCCTTTTGATAGTTTGGAATTGGGTATATACAGAATACAAAGAAGTAAAATATTTTAAATTTTTATTAAATTAAATACATTTAATTAAATTTAAAATTTTATTAAATTATTTATCAATATAGAACTACACATTGCAAAAGGAATACAGCAAAATACACAGTTTTAGATAGTCTTGAAATTGTATTTGCCTAATCAGTTTTAAACAAATCAATTTGTTAAATTTCTATTTCATTTTGCATTTGATTTAAAAAGTTTATTTTTATAAATATTTTTGTGATGCTGTACAGTTTACAACGCACTTTCACATGCATTCTTTTATTTAATATTCACTAAAATCCTGAAAGTTATGCAGAGCAAATATTCATATCACCACTTTATAGATGAGGTTAACTAAAGTTCTGAAGTGTAAGGTCACGTTTTAAGTAACTGATGAAGCAGGAACCATGACGTGGTGGCCATTATTCCCTGGCCTATCACAGATACCCAGTAAATACTTGCTGAATGAAAGAACAGATGGACGGAACTCAAAATCAGGTCTCTGATCTCAGAATTTCAGGTCACAGAATTTTCCATCCCAAGAGAGATGTGGGCAAGGCACACACACTGGTGGGGACATGCAGATTTGCTATGCATTTGGAGAATTTGGTGCTATAACCCTGTCCCCAACAATTTCCCCTTTAAAAATTGATTCTGTAGATAGACTCCCGTATGTGTCCAACGATATATACATAAGAATTTTTCACAAGAACATTGCTCGAGGTGATAAACAACTGGAAACAATTTAAATGTTAGTGAATAGATCACTTATAGAGTAGAATACTGACGGAATGGAAAACTACGCAGCCCTTAAAAAGAATCAGGCAAATCAGCGAGCGCAGATACAGAAAATCTCCAAGACATACTGATAATTGTGGAAAGTGAGGTGTAAATAAGCCAAGAACTTCCCTGCGTTTCGCCTCCACCTAGACAGTGGTTGACTGGACAAGGGGACTTCACGCGAAGCAGGAGAGACTTGACGCGAATGACAGGCAGATTCACTTTCTAATTAATAGATAATCCAAGAAGAAATGTCAAGGCCCATTTCTCCGAGGCTGGAGCGCCCGGACCCCAGAGACGGCCCCAAGCCGCTCGCTCCCACCCCCGCGGCCGCCGGCCCGGGCCCCACTCACCCTTCCCGGCCGCAGACGGAGCGCGGGCGCCCGGGGGAGCCCCGCAGCGGGCAGCTCCGCAGCGCGAGGCCCCGCAGGCGCTGCGCGGCCGGGCGGAGCATGGCGAGGCCGAGCCCAGGGCAGCGCACCTGCTCCGCGGCCGGCGGACAGCCTGGGCGGCGCGGCCGGAGCGCGAGGTCGGACCCTCCCCCGGGCGAAGGGCGGGCTCCTGGACCGCGGCGCGCTCGGGGACCGGAGCCTGCAGGGCCGCGGCACGATGGCACCAGCCGGACGCCCGGGGGCCAAGAAGGTGAGTTCCTTCCCTTCCTCCCTCGCAGAGCCCTTGGTAGTTTTGCACCGAGCGCCTCTAGTTCAAATCCCGCCTCAGCTCCTAGCCAATCCCGGGGGCCTTGGCAAAGCCCCTGGGCTGGATGGCCCTGAGCCTCGGTTTACCCAGCCACGAGTTGGCTGACGTTTACTGGCCCTGTGCGGTGCCGGGTACTGCACAGAGTGCTTTACACAAACTGTCACCTCGGCATCATCTTATTCCCAGTTTACAAGGGAGGAAACGGAGGCTCAGAGAGTCAGGTGACTAGCTCGGTGTCACCGATCTAGTCCCAGGTGGAGCGGGGACTCTCCGCGCTCAGTTTCTTCCCTCAATCGACCCGCACACGCAGCTCTTTCGGGGTGGGTAAGGGGCCCCAGAACTCCTCAGGCAAAGGCGGCAGCCTGGCCCTGTGGGTCGCCGGCTGCCCTGAAACCAGCCCCAGGGCAAGGGCACCCCAGAGGCACCATGCAGGGTGCAGGATGGGTGGGGTGCTGGGGACCCTTCCACTTCCTCTCACCCGGGAGTCCCGGTTCCAGACCCCTTTCCTGGTAAGCTCGGTAAGCCTATGAGTGGGGGTGGAGGGAAGAAGTGGCTAAATAAAATTAGAAAGGGCCTGAACTTGGACAAAGGACATCCAGGACCCTTTGAGTAAGTAACCCACCTGAGTAATTCAGAATTCAGGGATGTGGGACTTGGGGGGTAGGGTGGAATATATGACTGGAAACGTGCACCACCGATTTACTTGTACTAAAGAGTTAGGGACAACCGAGAAGATTTACAGTAGGGGCCTTTCTAAATAAGTTAAGGTTCATCCACTTAATAAGTCACCAGGCAACCAATTAAAAATTAAATACGAAGCCAGCTTGGTGGCTCACAACCTAGTATTCTGGGAGGTGAAGGCAGGTGGAGGGCTTGAGCTCAGGAGTTTGAAACCAGCCTGAGCAAGAGACCTCGTCTCTACCCAAAATAGAAAAACTAGCCGTGCGTAGTGGCACACGCCTGTAGTCCCAGCTACTTTGGACGCTGAGGCAAGAGGATTGCTCACGCCCAGGAGTTTGCGGTTGCTGTGAGCTGTGATACTACTGTAGCGATGTTAAGTTACAAAAGAAAATATGAAAATATATCACAAGGCTGGCCCCCAACTGTGCCAAAACTATTTTTATATATGCACTATAAAGAAGGACCCAATAATAATAGGTACATAGGAAGTGGAAAACAGGTTTTAAAAATATGTTTGGTGAAACGCTTTTCAGATTATTAAAGTAAAATGTGGATGTTAAAGGAAATAAGTTAATAGAGAAAAAACAAAGAACACTGAGTTGACTTCTTTCTCTCAGTTTCCTCTGTGGTAATTTTTACAGTTCTTTTTTCTTTCTTTCTTTCTTTTTTTTTTAAGGTTTGTAAAATGCTCTGTCCCTACCCTGTTTCTTCAGGGCCTTTGCAAAGTTGTCACATGTTATGTTAATGTGTACCTGTAAATTCAGATTTTAGTAGGAAGGGAACTAACCTCATCTCTCACCTCAACTAACAGGTACGTTTTAAGAACTCATTTAACTGACACAGATAACACTTCAAATATGTTCTTTAATCTAAGAGAGCAGTCCTATTGGCAATTCTAGGCAAGAGAGGGAGAGATTTTAGGCAGTTGGGTTTTAGGGTCACCTCCGACCACAGGGGAACATTGATTTCCCCTCTGAGTATGAATGGAGTTGGGCTGAGGCCAGATCTTACATGTAGAGGTCTTGCGTGTGAATATCTGCAAAATGGGGGCATAAATGCACCCCACAGCTCACTGTCAGGTATAAGACAGGTTCATTGCCAAACTGAAGGGGAGGATGGAAGGAAAATACAATTGTACTGCAGATTAATTGGCGGTGCTCTCTTTTTACACATTCTGTCTCTGTCACTCCACAGCTGTCTTTACATCCTACTGGTGTGGTATTTAATGGAGGTGGTAAGAAAAAGCAGTGAAGGGGGGCTGAAAGAGGCTCTGGATTCAAATAATTTAGTTGTTTTTGCTAATGGCTGTGTAGAAAAATGGCACATTTTAAATGTTGGGCAAACATCCAGATGATAAATGAAAATGTCCTACCTTTACTTAATATCATGAAGACACAAGCAAAATATGTACTATAATTTTCTTAACACCTAGCTAACATTCTGCTGAAGAGTGATATTGGTTCTCATGTTTTAAACAAAAGTTCTAGCATATGACACATCTGACAATTTCGAAACAGTTCTGTCTCTCTGCTAACTCTTGGCTTGGTTTACCAAAGGTCTACTTGTGGGCAGGTGCTATGTGAGGTGGTAGGGATATAGACCAATAAGATGGTCATCTGGCCCTGAGCCTCTTCCAGTGGAATGGGGGAGGCAAGCCAGTAACCAGATACTGCCCAACAGATGGACACATGGATGGAGGATCTGGGAAGTAAGCAGGTCACAAAGGATCTGCTTGTGGGAAGTCTCAATCAAAGCTTTAACTGTAGTGGTTCTCAATCTTCCTAATGCCTCGACCCTTTAATACAGTTCCTCATGTGGTGTGACCTCCCCAACCATAAAATTATTTTCATTGCTACTTCATAACTGTAATATTGCTACTGTTATGAATCATAATGTAAATACCTGATATGCAGGATGGTCTTAGGTGACCCCTGTGAAAGGCTCGTTTGACCCTCAAAGGGAGTCATGACCCACAGGTTGAGAACTGCTGGCTTAAAGTTTAGGGGATTTTTTTATGTTTCAAAGATACAAAATTAAAAGAATGAATTGCATTTTCTGGAAGAAATAAATCAGTGAGAATCACAGTAAGTATTAACATTTCTGCCATATTCAGCTTTAGATATGGTAAAATAACCAGAATTAGAAGCTTTCTCTGCTGGGTTCCACCTGCCTACCCTCCCTGTGCACATCAAAAAGGGAATGGTATAGATATGGGGACCTGGTGCTTAGCCCCAGATGCTCCCTTTCTAAACTACCTTCCTGTTCTGCAGAAGAAAGAAAGCTAGACACGTTTCCAGATACCGTCACAGCTAAGGATTCTGATAAGAATCAGGATCGCTAAGCGGATACACCTGCACGAGTCTGGGAAGGTCGATGCACAGCAAGCATGGCCGTAGTATCGCACCGCCGTGTCCAGGGGAAAGCCGGGAGAGGTCGCTATAGGAGCCTCTTTCTCCCTCTGTGGCATTTGCTTAATACACTCCTGAAGCCAACACTTCAATAGTGGCTTCTTTCAGCCATTGCCGAGGAGACAGCCCCTGGCAAGCCAGTTCAGTAGTGTTTTTCTAGGAGCCACTCCTGGTGGCCCAGTGCAAATTTTTGTTTTTTGTTCTTTTTTAGAGACAGAGTCTCACTTTGTTGCCCTCAGTAGAGTGCTGTAGTGTCACAGCTCACAGCAACCTCCCGCTCTTGGGCTTAGCCGATTCTCTTGCCTCAGCCTCCCAAGTAGCTGGGACTACAGGCACCTGCCACAACATCCGGGTATTTTTTTGTTGTTGTTGCAGTTTGGCTGGGGCGGGTTCGAACCCACCACCCTCAACATGTGGGGCCAGTACCCTATCTACTGAGTCACAGGCACTGCCCCAGCGCAAAATTTTTATGCAACCATTTCTCTATATTAAATTCCTTTCTGCTAAAAATAGCTGGAGTAGTTTGTATTCTATTTCCTGTAGCTGAACTGGACATAGGCAATAAAGCCAGAATAAACCCCGTTGGTTTATTCAGTCCGTCATTCAGTGGAGTTTATGAAATTGTTCAAGCCACATTTTGTCTCTCGTTTGGCCCAGTACTGTTAACAGGGCTATCCTGGGAGGTAGAACAAAGTGCGCTCTGTGGGAGCAGGCTCACTTGTCTGCTTTAATTCCTGGTGGCTTTTATTAGATCCAGGAATAAGGCAGGTAAGAACAAAGATTCTCATAACAAAGATCAAATTATTTTCACTCTTATCCCTTATTGTCTTTATGGTTCTCCAGCCTCCTGGAAAAAAGAAGAAAATGGTACATCCAGTAAGGTGGCCAAAATACGGTCAGGATCTCTTGGTTGCTTAGTGTCCTCAGAAGCTTGAGCCTGACACCTTTGCCAGTCACTTTGGGTGACGATTGATCAGAGGAGAAATAGCAGCTGCCAAGCACTAGAGCAGAGCAAAGCAGTTTCTTTCCAAAATCTATCTCTCTCCTTCATCACACTCGGGGGGAGCTGGACACACAGGCATCTGCTGCTCAGCACACGGCATATGCTCGCCCAGCAGCCAGGCATAGCCACGTGGCTAAATTCTCACTTAGGGAGCATCAGTGATACGAGTCACTTCTAGGTCTGGGCTAAAGACTTCAGAATGAGCTTTAGCGTACTTTATGTGCCCATCATTTAAGACAGAATATGAACATGGCTCTGACTCAGTTCTAACCAGGCTGAAGAGGATAGTACCCTAGGGCAGGGGTTGCAAACACTTTCTGTAAAGGGCCAGAAAGTAAATATTTTCAGCCCTGCAGGCCATACAGGCTAAGCTGCAACTACTCAGCTCTGCTGTTGTAGTGCAAAAGCAGCCACAGATGTTCTGCCAACCAAGGGGCAGGGGCCAGCAGGAATGTATGTACAAACATAGATTTGGCCTGGAGGTGTTCATGTGCCACGGAGGTTGGCAAAGTGCTGAGATGAAAGGCCTGTGTCCTTGGGACTATTATGTGATGGAAAAATTGCACTACTTTTATTTAAGCCACTTTGTGGGAGGCCTCTTTGTTAGAGCAGCCCCTGGCTTCACCCTGAATCCAGCAGGGATCCCGGCGAGCTGCCTCTATACCCTGCTTGATGTCTCCCTTGCTTTCAGGAACTGAGGGGTTCCCTAGTGATTTCACGGACCAGATGTGGCTGGTTAGAATGGACACCTGAGGCATTTCTTCCCAGTCCCTGTGTTACTTTGTGTCTAGCTGTGGGCAGGTCTGAAATGAACTGGCCTATTTTCAAGAAAAGGTGGCATCTTCAAATAATGCAGTCTGTGCGAAAGGGATCAGGATTGCTATGCAGGGTGGGGGGTTGCAGTGGTCAAGGAAGGGATCTCTGAAAAGATGATGCTAGACCAAAGACCTGAGGGAGGTGAGGGCTTGAGCCATGCCCGCATCTGGGGGAGGCATGTTAATTTAGATGAAGGAAACAGTGGTCCAGGCTAACTGCTCTAGATACAACCTCTAGGTGGTGAAGTAGAAAGAGACTAGGTTTGGCATTTAGGAGCTCTGATGTCTGCTTTTCTATTTACTTAGAAAAGTAAATAGAATCCTGGGCAAGTCACAACTTTCCTGGACCTCAGTCTCCTCATTTATACATAGGAATGAAAACTGTCCTGCCCCACAGAGTTGTCAGGAGCACCAAGTGATAACACGTGCGTGAACACACTGCACACATATAGGACATGAGTTCCTGAAATGCTGTGTCTGTTAGACTGAGGTTCAGTGACGTCCACAGGGAGGAGGTTTATTTTTTCCACCGAACAAGAGGTCTAGGGGTTGGCAGCCCATGGCTGCTGTAACCACACAAGGACGTCATTAAGAAACGTGTTCTTAGTCAGCTCTGCCAGCCTTGACTTACAGCTTTCAGTGGTGTGGCTGCAAGATGACACTGAAGCCCCCAGTTAGTACAGTGACATTCCAGTCAGGAAGGAGAAAAAGAGACCAGACAGAAGGGAGTGGGTGTCTCTATCAGGAAAGCAAAACTTCCAGAAACCCTCTGCTGCTTCCCCCCGTGTCTCCCTGGCCAGCACCGTGTCACAGGGCTGCTCCTGGCAGCCAGGCAGCCTTGGAGGTTTTTTAAGGATGGGGACATTGTGTCCTCACACGGAACACATTAGCAAAGAAGAGGGGCAAGCGTGCACATCAGTTAGGCAACTGGCAGTGTCGCCACAAACTTGGAGAACCAAAATAACTATGATGGAATCAGCACTTTCACTAGAATTTGACTCAGAAGAAAATATGATTTGAGATAAAAGTGGTCACAGTCCTTTGATTGTGCAAAATAGGTACTTGGCTTAGCCATAAATTACAATGTGCTCAATCCTTCTGAGATACCACTAGACATTATACTAATAGAACTGGCGCTCTAAGAACATGATACCACCCTGCCTAAAATTAGAAATTGCTTTTAGGAAAAAAAGAAAAAAAGTGGAGGGGAGCTTAGGAGAATGTTCTTTCTTTTCTTCAGGGTATTTTGGAGCGTCTGGATGGTGGGGAGGTTGTAGTTGGTGATGGCAGCTTTCTCATTACTCTGGAGAAGAGAGGCTACGTGAAGGCCGGGCTCTGGACTCCGGAGGCGGTAGTAGAACATCCAGGCGCAGGTCAGTGCCCATTCATGTGAGGGGGCTCGTCTCTCTGACTTTTTGCTTAAATGTGATTGAGAGAAGATCAAGAAACAATAACAAGGGCCACACGCGGTGGCTTATACCTGTAATCCTAGCAATCTGGGAGGCCGAGGCAGGAGGATCACTTGACCTGATTAGTTCAAGACCAGCCTGAGCAAGAGTGAGACCCCCATCTGTACTGAAAGAAATAGAAAAACAGAAAAATTAGCAGGCCTTGTGGTGGGCACCTGTAGTCCAGCTACTCTGGAGGCTGAAGCAGGAGGATCACTCGAGCCCAGGAGTTTGAGGTTGCTGTGAGCTATGATGCCATAGCACTTCAGTCAGGTTGACAGAATGAGAACTTGTCTCAAAAAAAAAAAAGAGGGAAGAAAAAAAAAATTAAAAAAAAAAAAAAAGAAGCAATAACAAGAGTCTCTAAGCTGTTTTGCTTGCTGAGATTGCCAAGATGTAGAGACAGTGCCAGTATGCTGGCTGACACTTACGGAAGGAAATGACCCGTCTCTGTCTCTCTTACGCACACACTTGTATTTTCATGTATAGATAGTACAAAGATATACAGAGTGCCAAAAAATGTATACACTTTTTTTAATATGAAAAAAAAACTGTATTAAAATTGTAATACTGAAGTTACATTTGACTTTGGCAACTATAAGAAATACAAGATACAAGATAACAAATGTTATGGTATATATTGAATATTACCTTAATATTTGTCCCATGAAGATTTGTAGATACTCAGTTTCCTTAAAATAGCAAAACTGCCATTGCTTCGGATTCATCCTGCTGAATAGTTGGATGTGCATAGGAAGGATGGTTAATGGTAGTGACCAGCTTCCCAGAGGACAGCTGGCCAGGTTCTGGGGATAGGAGGGCAAAGAAATACACATAATTTTATGTCATCCCCTTGCCTAGAAAGGGAAAGAGCTGCAGATAGAAAATGGGATGGGATTGGTTTATGACATCAAATTGGAAGTTTAATTCTACCCTGTATATTTGCTGTCCTAAATTAAAGTGGAAAATAAAGCCAAAGAATTAATGGAACGGATTATAGGCTGAGAAAGGAACTTTTGATTCACTCTGATTTTATTCATCTCTGCACAGTATGTCAGACAAACCCAGGGTCCTGTGTTGGTTTTCCCACTGACCACCCATGTGACCTGGGACACGTCACTTGACCTCTCCAAGAATCCATTTCTTCCTCTGTTACTTGGGGGCATGACATGGACCAGTTGGGAGAATTTGTGAGTTAATCCATATGAAGTATGCTGCATGTCATAAATACCCAGTGGCCACTATTTTTGTTTCGCTAGACACCCAGAGTTCTGTGGTAGGACAGAACTAAGTTTTGTCCCTTGGGTCCTTGGGGGGAAGTTTTCATCTGACCCAAGAATTCGTTTCTAGTTTTAGAAGATCTTTTTGCTAAACCAGGAAGAAAGTACTGAAGTAGCAAAGATAAGACTACGGGAGTGGGGGCAAAGGTGGTGATGACAGGGGAAGGCACCGCTTTCCGTAGGCCACGGACTGCTTTCCAGCTCCCCTACTGGTGGCAGCAGAATCTGTTTGAGGTGGTGCCACCATATACATTCTACTCTCCGTGAGGGCATTTCCTCATTTTTTGGGGGGGACTGCCAACGCTGACTGCAGTAGACAGCTGCATGTCTCACGACACTACACTATGAATAAAACTCTCCACACTAAGAGACCAAGGGACAATTGGCCAACTAGGACGTACACTCTGTGTGTGACTGCGCCCACCATTGAGGTCAGCAGGACAAACCAGGCTCCTCTAATGGTGTGCCCTGCCCTTGGATTCTACTGATTTTAGGCTATATGTATCTTTTTATTTTTTATTTTTTATTTTTTTTTTGAGACAGAGCCTCAAGCTGTTGCCCTGAGTATAGAGGGCTGTGGCGTCACAGCTCATAGCAACCTCCAACTCCTGGGCTCAAGTGATTCTCCTGCCTCCGCCCCCAAAGTAGCTGGGACTACAGGCACCTGCCACAATGCCCAGCTATTTTTTTTTTGGTTGCAGCGGTCATTGTTGTTTGGTGGACCCAGGCTGGATTTGAACCTGCCAGCTCAGGTGTATGTGGCTGGCGCCTTAGCCACTTGAGCCATAGGCGCCAAGCCTAGGCTATAATTTTTTGTCAGTAGGAGGTCTGAATCTGGGAATGACTAAAAGAGATGGGAGGAAGTGAGCTGCTGCAGAAAATGACAGCTTCTCAATTTTTTATTTTTTTATTTCAATTAAAAAAATAAACCCAATGACTTTGTAGTTCGTCAGCTTCACATGGAATTCTTGAGAGCCGGATCAAATGTTATGCAGACTTTCACCTTTTCTGCCAGTGAGGACAATATGGAAAGCAAGGTAAAGTGTAATGGTGGGGAGGAGAGGTCACCTACAACAAAAAGAACCTCTTCACGGGAAGCTATGCTATTGACTTGATGTGTTACAATACTTTGTTACAAAGTCCACATAGATTTCTATTAATTCATTATCATACAAATATATGCAGAGGATGCCAAAAATGTATGTATGTTCTAAGAAAGGAAAAAACTGCACTAAATTTATAATACTCAAGTCACATTTAATTTCTTTCTTTTCTTTCTTTCTTTCTTTTTTTTTTTTTTTTTTTGAGACAGTCTCCCTTTATCACCCTCAGTAGAGTGCTGTGGCATCATAGCTCATAGCAACCTCTAACTCTTGGGCTCAAGCAATCCTCTTGCCTCATCCCGAGTAGCTGGGACTATAGGCCCCCCGGCACAACACCTGGCTATCTTTAGAAACAGGGTCTTGCTCTTGCTCAGGCTGCTCTCAAACTCGTGAGCTCAAGCAATCCACTTTCCTCAGCCTCCCAGAGGGGTAGGATCAAGGGGTGAGCCACTGGGCCCAGTGTCACATTTGACTTCTGCAATTATAAGAGGTGTTCAACATGACTTGTATTCATCTTTTGTTATTACAATTTTAATATGGTTTTTTCCTTTTTCTTTCTTTCTTTCTTTTTTTTTTTTTTTGAGACAGAATCTTACTTTCTTGCCCAGGCTAGAATACCATGGCCTCACCTAGCTCACAGCAACTCAAACTCTTAGGTTCAAGCAATCCTCCTGCCTCAGTTTCCTGAGTAGCTGGGACTACAGGCACACACCACAACACTCGGCTAATTTTTCTATTTTTAGTAGAGAGTCTTGCTCAGGCTGGTCTCTAACTCTTGAGTTCAAGGGATTCTCCAACCTTGACCTCCCAGAGTGCTAGGGTTCCAAGTGTGAGCCATAGTCTGTTTCTTTCTTTCTTTCTTTCTTTCTTTTTTAATTGAGACAGAGTCTCACTTTGTGGCCCTCAGTAGAGTGCTGTGGTATCATAGCTCCCAGCAACCTCCAGCTCTTGGGCTTAAGTGATCCTCTTGCTTCAGCCTCCCCAGTAGCTGAGACTACAGGCACCCACCACAACTCCCGTTTTTTGTTTGTTTGTTTGTTTGTTTGTTTTGGTAGAGATGGGGTCTCACTCTGGCTCATGCTGGTCTCAAACCTCTGAGCTCAGGGCAATCCATCTGCCTCGGCCTCCAGAGTGCTAGGATTACAGGCGTGAGACACCGCGCCTGGCCAGTTTTTTTCTTTCGTAAAATGTGTATACATTTTTTGCACCCTATGTATACTTAAGAAATGAGCATTTCCTGCCCCTTTAGATAGAAGGGGGGATAAGACTGGCATAGAATAAATGCTTGGAAAGGTGTGGCTGTCTTTCTATGCTGTTTTTTGGAGAGAAAGTACACCTTGTTGATGTTCTTTTTTGCCTTCTCAATTCACATTCTTCTCTTCTGCCTTGTCCATTTGCAGACATGGAGGTCCTAAAAGACACAGCATTGGCCTAGAAATTAGAAAAATCAGATCTGACATCCAGCTGCCACCTGTTGGCTAGGTGACTAGGCCAGACACCTAACTTCATTGAAAACTGGTTAAGTTCATAGACCTATTGCAAAGAATAGTTAAGACGAAGGTATGGAAGTTCTGTGAAATAGTCTGCAAGCGTAAAATGTTAACAGTTGTGTTAATGCCCATTCACTCATTCAAGCAACCAACATTCACTGAGTGCCTGTTACAGTCCATTCTCTATGCTAGATACAAAGATGATACAAAGGCAAAGGCCCTAGTCTGAAAAGGCTCACAGTCAAGTATGGGAGGAAGACAAATAAAGGTATTAAAGCTCAGCATGGTGGGAACAATAATGGAAATACAAAGTCATGGAATGGGGAGGTCGACCCCGCTCTGCTGGTCTTCTCATAGTGCAGTTCATACAAGGGACTGACGCGCATTTTACTTGCTCATTGCCTCCCTTGCTAGGTTATATTTTCCTTTTAAAATGCCAGGCTCACCATCTCAACTCTCACCCCTAACCCCAGTGGGAAGATGTAAATGCTGCCGCCTGTGACCTCGCCAGGGAAGTGGCCGGCGAAGGGGATGCTTTGGTAGCAGGAGGGATCTGCCAGACGTCCCTGTACAAATACCACAAAGATGAAGCTAGAATTAAAAAACTTTTTCAACAACAGCTAGAGGTTTTTACCAGGAAAGATGTGGACTTCTTGATTGCAGAGGTAAGCCCAGTATTAGAGAGAAAAGATTGAGCCTCTTTTTGATAAGAATAACCACGCAGTCTTCAAATTTTGTTAGGGTATCGGACTGTCGGGTGCCCTCATTTCTTCCTTGTGAGTGGCCAAAGATTTGTGACATGAGCAGCAGCAAGGCCAACATTCCCTCCTTTGTGTGCTAGGTTCTCTGTGGAGAACCAAAGGACAGACCCAGGCACGGCCTAGCCATACACAGCCTTTGGTTCTCTAAGGTCTGGGTGGTTGTGGCAGCCAACTCTGGGTACCCGGCAATCTGGAGTGGGAGGAGGGAGACTGCGGCCTGGAGAGAGGGCTCTGCCTGTGTGGGCTGGGGCTGTGTGGGTGCAGAGCCCAGGGGAGGGCAGCCGCTCAGGGTCACACAGGCCCCTGTGTGGTTCTCAGCACCCAGTACGTGCGTCATCCTCCTCCATCTATGCCGTGCTGGCTCCTGCCTCTCTGCTTTTGCTCAGGCTGTAACATGTGAGTGACATTTTGAAAACAGAATCAGTAAGAATCGGCCACTGATTGGCCCAGAGTATTCTTTTCCCTCCACCTCCAGACAGAAAGCTCTCATTCCCCATTTCCCAACACAGTTGCTACATCCTCAACCCAAGTCTTTACCCTGAACAAGAAAATAGCCTCCAGACTGCTACTTGCCCCAGTCTCACGACTGATCTCTAATGACAACCTTGCCCCATCAGCCTCCCTAAGGCTTCATGCTGCCCAAGCCCTGCCAGCCCCCTGGGGGACAGTCACCTGCAGAGACTCGCAGGAACTCTGCCCTCTGTGTTTTCCTGATGGATGGGAACATGGTTGAAGAACTTGCCTTTTGATCTTCTCTTGTCACTCCTCACACACTGCTGCTGCACGGTGTTTCTCACTCAAGAGGGAAGAAACAGGAAGATTTCTGCTGGATTTGCCCGGTTGCCTTTAAAGTCAGTTTTTCAGTTATGGCACTTAAGGGGGTGAAGCACCTTGCGGAAGGTGTGAGTGTACCAGACAAGGTGTCCTGTCCAGCACTGCCAAAGAGACTGAGTAGCTGTCGCTCCTGCTCTGTGCCTCAGTTTTCTCCTCTGGGAGCATAATCATATTTCCCTTCCTACTTGGTGGAGCACTTATGATTATCTAACCAGAAATGAGTATGCTAGCACTTGGAAATAAAAAGCATGACAAACTATATTATTTTTCAGAGAGTACCTTAGTTTCATAAAAAATTAGTCCAAAGTTTATTAGTGAACTTCTGTTCCTTCAAAATTATGATATTAAGTACTCAATTACTTCTCTTTTTTTTTTTTTTTGAGGCAGAGTCTCACTATGTTGCCCTGTGCAGAGTGCTGTGACATCACAGCTCACAGCCATCTCCAACTTTTAGACTTAAAAGCAATTCTCTTGCCTCAGTCTCCCAAGTAGCTGGGACTCCAGGAACCCATCACAACGCCTGGCTATTTTGGTTGTAGTTCTCATTGTTTGGTACACCAAGGCTGGGTTCAAACCCACCAGCTCTCGTGTATGTGGCTGGCATCTAGTCGCTGAGCTACAGGCCCCAAGTACTCAATTACTTTTAAAATCTTTTTAAAAATAATAATCAGCCTCTCACTGAATCAATGACCCCAGAATGAAAACCCCTATGTTATGGTTCAAGAAATTAGAATATTTAGTAAGAACCGTATTCTTTATCAATCTGATAGAGACACATTTCTTAGCAAGTCTTGTCACATTTTTGGTAAATTGTATAGCTGTTTTGCAACATTTGCTTTCTACTATTCAAAATCTGCTTTATATTTGGACCAGTAGAAAAAGTGGTGTTTCTCTTAGTATTTTGAGCATGTCGAAGAAGCTGTGTGGGCTGTGGAAGTCTTAAAAGAATCAGGCAAACCTGTGGCAGCGACCATGTGCATAGGCCCGGAGGGAGACATGCATGACGTGAGCCCCGGAGAATGTGCCGCGAAGCTGGTGAAGGCAGGTAATCTGGCTCCACGCTGCGGAAACAGTTCAGCTGTTGCTTATGAAATGTGACGTTTGCTTGATGTTGTGAGGGCAGTTTGGAAATGAAAGAACAGACTGGAAAGTTTCCTTCTGTGTTAAATCTTGGGAGATGGAGGGAGATCACTCAACTCAAAGGACCTTCCAACTGCTTTTATAAAATAGAATAAACACACAAATACATGAGTAATGAATGTCAAAGTCCTTTGTTGCTTTGTGCAGGGGCTGCCATCGTTGGTGTGAACTGCCGATTTGGGCCCTGGACCAGTCTGAAGACGGTGGGGCTCATGAAGGAGGGCCTGGGGGCTGCAGGGCTGAAAGCCCACCTTATGGTGCAGTCCCTGGGGTTCCACACGCCCGACTGTGGCAAAGGAGGGTTTGTGGATCTCCCAGAATATCCCTTCGGTAAGCTCAGGTCATATTAGAGGTCCTTGTATTAATATTTCTCATTGTGACAAAGTTCAAACAGCTACAATAAATTATTGTACAGTTTTATAATACAAGGCTGCCTAAGACAACAATATTCAATGTTAACCAAAAAATGGGCTGTCTGAAGAATGCATTATCTAAAGTTTTTTTTTTTTTTTTTTAGTTGGGAAAAATAATGTCCAAAATGGGAACAATAATCAAAATGCCATAACATTTCATTACAGGACTGGAGCCCAGAGTTGTCACCAGATGGGATATTCAGAAGTATGCCAGAGAGGCCTACAACCTGGGGGTCAGGTACATTGGCGGGTGCTGTGGATTTGAGCCCTACCACATCAGGGCAATCGCAGAGGAGCTGGCCCCAGAAAGGGGATTTTTGCCTCTGGCTTCTGAAAAACATGGCAGCTGGGGAAGTGGTCTCAATATGCACACCAAACCCTGGATTAGAGCAAGGTAGAAATTTTTTAATTAATATTCTTATTATTTTTTTAACCTCCATTTATTTATTGTTGTAAACACTATGCATGCACATGGTAACTAATGAAAATTCAAAAAGTATAGAAATTTATAAAATGAAAACCAAATGTTGCCTCTTTCTGAAATAAAATAGTCAAACATAAAGACTATTGGCTCGGCGCCTGTGGCTCAAGCGGCTAAGGCGCCAGCCACATACACCTAAGGTGGCGGGTTCGAATCCCCAGCCCGGGCCCACCAAACAACAATGATGGCTGCAACCAAAAAATGGCCAGGCGTTGTGGCGGGCACCTGTACTCCCAGCTACTTGGGAGGCTGAGGCAGGAGACTCGCTTGAGCCCAGGAGTTAGAGGTTGCTGTGAGCATGATGCCACGGCACTCTACCCAGGGGGATAGCTTGAGGCTCTGTCTCAAAAAAAAAAAAAAGAAAGAAAGAAATTTCAGAATGAATATAATTCATAAATTCACATAAAACTGAAACACATTTCCATTTCTAAAAGATGGTATGAAACCTAAGGATTGTTATTAAAAATAAAAATGTGACAAAAATCCCTGACATTAACAGATATGGAAATAGATTTTTTTGTCCGTGTATTGAAACAAGAGGTCACGTTAACCTGACCATTAAATCTTGAGCATATACACACACACATATGTATGTGACATATTGGACTTATAAAATAGGTATGACTCTTCTAATTAACTAATTAAATCTATTGTCAATCACAGGGCTAGAAGGGAGTATTGGGAAAATCTGCTCCCAGCTTCAGGCAGACCTTTCTGTCCTTCGCTTTCAAAGCCAGATGTCTAAGGAACAGTGAAAGAAAACCCTGAAATCATAGATCAGAAAGAAGTTGTCCTTAAGCCCCCCTGGAATCTTGCTCACCTCCCTCCTGTCTCCACCTGCTGCGGCCCCAGTTGGATGGCTGTCTGCATGTTGAGCTCCTGCTGTGGTTGAGCCCCTCTGTGGATGCTGCGGAGATGCAGGGAGGATGAGAGTGGCCCCCCCGGCTCCCCACCTCTTACTGTCCAGGAGTGCCGCTGTGCACTCTGCTGAAGATCATCGAGAAGAGCCAGACTTGCCTCTGACATTTAAAATAATCGGAAGTCACTACGAATCGAACCTAGTGAATTAGTCAGGTGACTAAGCTAGATGCTCTAAGCCAGTGTTTTTCAACCTTTTTTTTAATCTCAGGGCACACTTGAACCTATAGTTAAACTTTTATGGCACACTTAAATTATGTTGATCAAAAAAATGAGTGAAAAGAAAGAATATACTCACTGGGCTTTGAACTTCTTTTGAAAATAATTGAATTAATGGTCTTTAAAACTTTTCACGGCATAGCTACCATCCTCTCACAGCACACCAGTTGAAAATCACTGCAGTTAAGCAATTGGTGTGCTTTCCTTAGATGATTTGTGTAATGACCCCAAAGACAAGATTCAAAAAATGTTTCGAATAATGTCAGGATTGTTGAAATACGTGCATGACCTTCCAAAGTGATTCCTTTCAAAGGTGACTTTCACTTAAAGATGTTAGGTCCCAGAATTTTTTTGATTGTTTTTATAAGCTGGGTTATAAACCGTTTAAGGACAGAGATCATGTGATGAGCTTCTTATGCCATTTCTCCTTAGTTAGCATTGTGCTAGACGTAGTATTAGATGTTCAATGTAATACTTATTCTTGGTTATTTAAAATAGGTAAAAATAGAAGACCTTTTTAAAAATCAGAGTTCAAATCTATCTTCGTCTAATATTTTCTTATGATTGTGTTATTTGCTGTGTGCCAGGGTTTTTTTTTTCCCGCATAACAATGTATCAATTTGTGACAATTAATAAAATTAAAAATAACTTACCTTTTGTAACATCTGAATATTTAAATTTTGATAGACATTCTTAGGGATAATAATGCCAAATATTTATTACCTATTATGTCCCAAGCTTTGTTCTATTGTAATATATAAGAATCATATATATACATACATATATAAAATATAAATTATATATAATATATATATATGCACACACATTTTTTTCCACAGGAATTAAAAATGAGAACATGTTTTTAACACAATAGTTTATAGATAAGAAAACCAAAGTTTAATGAGGTGAAGTAACTTGCCTGAGGTCACACAAGTAGTGGAAGTGGGATCAGTAAATTGGGATCTGAACGCACGTGGTCTGCCTCTAGATAGAATCCATGTTTTCAACCTGTCTTTTGCACTGGCTGTATCCCGTGCACAGCTGCTGCTTTTATCAGAGTCTGTCCATATTGTTCTGTTGCTGAATTTGAGGTATTTTATCAACTTCCCTTAACATGAGTTAGCTCCTCAATCCTGACCTGGTTGTTTCGGTAATGTTGATAACCTAGAATTCATTCACTGTTGCCCCTTTACCCATAATACTATACAACTCCACCCTGCTGGAACCAGAGAATGAATAATTTACCTTCATTTCAAGGCCTCTGGGTTCTTGAGGGTGATAATCCAAACTGCTGATTAAGTGCCTGAATACCTTTGCTAGCATCTCCAAGTGGGACCATCTAGTCCCTGTTCAAACCTGTCCAGTAGAAACTACGTACCTCTCAAGAATACTTACTTCTTTTCAAACTGCATCTTATTCTTGAAACATTATTCCCTATATCAACCAGAAATCTACTTACCTACAACTTCCACCTCTTGGTCCAAATATTAGACTGTGATACCCATAGACACATTTATGGTTTCTTCCATGTGATAAGTGATTAATATTTAAAAATTTAAAGATAGCTGTTAATGCTGTCCTTTACTTACTCCTCTTCATTTCCTCCAACCAAAAGGCACAGATTTTTAAGATGAGCTTTGTCATGTATTACCTGTGTGACATTAGACGGTTACTTAACTTTTCTTCATCTGGGTTGGACTCAGTGGCTCGCACCTAATCCCAGCACTTTGGGAAGCTGATACAGGAAGAGTGCTGGAGGCCAGGAGTTTGAGACCAGGCTGGGCAGCATACTGAGACCTTGTCTCTTTAAGCACTTTTGTTGTTGTTGTTGTTGTTGTTGTTGCAGTTTTGTTTGTTTGTTTTCTCCAGGGCCGGGTTTGAACCTGCCACCTCCAGTATATGGGGCCAGAGCCCTACTCCTTGAGCCACAGGCACTGCCCTGGGACCTTATCTCTTCAAAAAATTAAAACATGTGCTTGGGGTAGAGGCATGCACCTGTAGTCCTAGCTACTCAGGAGGCTGAAGTAGGAGGACCACTTGAGCCCAGGAGTTTAAGGCTGCAGTGAGCTATGATCACACCACTGCACTCTAGCCTGGGCAACAGAGCAAGACTCTGTTTATTTTTATTTATCTATTTATTTGTTTATTTATTTACTTATTTATTTATTTTGAAACAGAGTCTCACTATGTGACCCTTGGTAGAGTGCTGTGGTGTCACAGCTCATAGCAACCTCTAACTCTTGAACTTAAGCGATTCTCTTGCCTCACCCTCCCAAGTAGCTGAGACTACAGGTGCCCATTACAATGCTCAGCTATTTTTTGTTGTTGCAGTTGTCATTGTTGTTTAGTAGGTACAGGCCAGGTTCGAACCTGTCAGCCTGGGTGTATGTGCCCCACTCCCTAACCACTGAGCTAAGGGAGCCGAGCCAAGACCCTGTTGATTAAAAAATAAAATAAAATCAGTTGTACTCGCAACCACCCTGTTCCTCTCCCACAATCCCCTACACTCTTTTTTTTTCCAACTTGAGCCTAGAAAAATGGCTCCCACAAAGAAGGGTGGCTAGAAGAGCTTTCTGTCACCATCGAGGTGGTGACTCGAGAATACACCATCAACACTCACAAGCACATGCATGGAATGGGCTTCAAGAATTGTGCCCCTGGGGTACTCAAAAGAGATCCATAAATTTGCCATGAAATAGATGGGAGCTCCAAATGTGTTCACTGATACCAGGCCCAACAAAGCTGCCAAAGGCATAAGGAATGTCCCATACCATTTGCGTGTGCACTTGTCCAGAAAACGTAAGGATGATGAAGATTCACCAGACCAGCTCTATACTTTGGCTTTCTATGTACCTGTTACCACTTTCAAAAATCTACAGTCAACATGGATGAGAACTAACTGGTGACAGTCAGATACATCAAATAAAGTTATAAAACCACACCAAAAAAATCTTTGTCTGTAAAATGTGGGTATAAATAAAGTATAAAACAGAACTATCCTTATTAGGGTGCTATGAGGATTAAATGAGATAATAAGATACCTAGGAATACTGTCTGGCATACAGTAGGCAGCCATTGTGCATTATTCATTGTACAGTGTGATAAAATTATGTGACTTGATTTCCAATCCTCTCACCCTTAGGGTGACTGACTCTCATCTGGGCAAACTCTAGGGTCACAGCCTCTTCTTATTTTTAGTACTTGGTCTTAGACACCACACTCCAGGAGCAGACTGCTCACATGGTAACTGCCTGCTTAGAGGCTATGTGGAGAGGGCAGTGAGTGATATTGCAAGGAAAGCACGAGTGAAGAGGCTAACTCCGGAGGGGGAGCTGTCCTCCGCTCTGAATCCCTTCCTTGGGTTTGTACCAGTATAAACTAAGACCATCGTCTAGTTTCATAGCTTACAGTTTAAAAGTGGTAATAAAAATAAATTACATATGGTAGGTCCCTTGGCCCATCCACAGTGAATATCAGCTAAGGCTCTATTATCAAAGAGCAGCTCACTTAGACTTGCAGCAAGAGTAAAGGCAATCTTCAGCTTTTCAGATTGACAGTTGTGATATATGCAAAACTAGGATTAAAATATATTTTTCAAAAGTGTTATTCACAGGAGTGACATGGGTTGAAAGATGTGAATAAGGACAATAGTAAGGAAAAATGAATCTGAAGAAGACGTGCAGAGAGACTGAGAGGGACAAGAGAAGATGAGATGTGACATAAAGTTCAGCCTGAGCCGTAAAGCAGGCTGCACCCACCTGATGAAATTGTGTGCAGCCAATGCAAATTGTGTTCAAGAAGAGTGTTTAATAACCTCTCTGTGTGTGCTGCTTTGCTCCGATGACTTGTGGTCTGCACATTATTGATAAGACAAGTCATTATAGCTTCTTAAACACGCATTTTCACCTTGGGTATACTAAGTGCCCTGGCCTGCAATAGGATCTTGATGAGACTAAAGTTGATAAACTTCCAAGAGATAAGCAGGCTGACCAATAAAGTAAAAACTTTAAAAGGTAGGTTTCCTACATTGAAAGGCTCCAAAATTTATGTAATGACTAGATCACATTTTAAATATTATGTATATTGAGGAAACATATTTCAAACCATTTCAACTCCAATTTAATCATTATGCCCCAAAATAAAGTCCAGAAAGGATGCTTAGTACTTTCTTCTGGCAAATCTAGACAGTATATTTAGATGATTTCAATTACCCTGTATTAAGATGTCAAATTGCTATAAACTGATTAATAAATGCAATACAATCCCAATGAAAGGTGCCATCAGGACTGAAGAGAAATAGACATGCAAACTGTCAAGTTCATGTGCAAAAAGAAATGTAGGGATTATGGGAAAGTTAGAAAAAGAGGGATAACGAGGAAAGTGTGGCCTTGCCAGACTATCACCATATATAACAGAGTAATTAAAATCACTGGCTGCTTGTATAAAAAAAAAAACCCTAACAAATGTTATCATATAAAAAATTTAGGTTGGGTATGGTAGCTCACACCTGCAATCCTAGTGCTTTGGGAGGCTGAAGTGGGAGGATTGCTTGAGGCTAGGAGGTCAAGACCAGCCTGGGAAAGAACAAATCTCTACAAAAAATAGAAAAATTAGCCAGGGTGGTGGCCCAAACCTGTAGTCCCAGCTACTTGGAAGGCTGAGGCAGGAGGATCACGAGTCCAGGAATTTGAGGTTGCCATGAACTGCGATGATGCCAATGCACTTTGGCCCAGGCGACAGAGTAAGAACCTCACTAAAAAAAAGCAAAACCCCCCAAAACTTAAATGTATAAACATATATAAAAATACTCTGAACAAAAGATAAAGTCAGATGGGTAAACTGTGTAATGGGGGTCAGAGTAACCACGCCTCCTAGAAGGGGGTCTTGAACTGCATTAGTTCAACCCTCCCTCCACCCACACAGGTGCTGTGAGGCCACTCACCTATGTGACTGGCATTCAGAAACCTACTCTACCCCATTTTCTTGGACTTACCAATGTGATGAGAGGGAGATATATGCAGCTGGGAACAAAGCAAAGCC